GTAACGTGTGAAACTGCATCGATTCTTTTGTGTGAAACATAAAATGATTAACCTTTTCGCTCCGAAGAGCGTATATACGTACCGCACGTCGAAGAATAGAGACACTCGGATACAAAGAGCCGTGTATACACACTCGCCTTCCGACAAATGAACGCTCACGTGCACACAAAAAAAGCGCACACGCCCATACTAGACATAATGTATTTTATTTCATTTTATGTTTCTGTTTATAGAACAGAAAACGCAACCGTGCGTTGTCGTTAGCACTTGGTGTAGGTGTCGAGTTGTCAGCGACACGCTCCGTCCGCAGCGATCGCGTGTTTTCAGACGCGCGCGAAAGGGTTGAGAAACCATAGAATAATACCGATGTCATAAGACAAAAAAAAAAAAAAACCTAGATACATATTTTTTGCGATGCGTAGCAACGTTTCATTTGCGCTTTCACTTTCAGCAACGTTTGTCTCGGGTCGAAAGTACATCATTTCGCGTTTGTTCACGACCGTTCGGATTTGTTTATCTCTCTTTCGGGGAGATCCAACGCTGATAGGATTAAACGCTAGTCGGTTTCGCACAAGTCGCGCTAGTTGGGCGGGCTCTTGTTAAAGATTCGCGGTAACCAGAACAGAATACGCAATTAAGCTCCTTTCAAGTTTCACTATGCGCGCGTGTGCGATGCGTCGCTCTGATTTGACACTTTGAGTGCCGCCTCACCCCCCAGACATGACTTTTTGCAGGAGACCTCGTCACTTCATTTCTGGATGACGTTTTTATTTGCTCGAATAGAAACGATCTTGATTAGGCCCCGCAGGAATCGCGCTCGAAATGCGCCTGGCACTTCGGAGCGTTGAAATGTTACTAGGCGCGTAAATTCGTGTTCGTTGGAATTTACGCGTCGAATTCAGAACAGCGCGTTATCGCGAGATTCGACCGCGACAAAACGTCCAGATGTAAGGGCGCGCGAGAGGTCATCGTTGTCGTCGTCGTCGTCGTCGTCGCCGCGCGATAGCCTTCCTTTGATCGTTCGGCATCGGCGCACGTAAATTCACGGCGGAAAATGCACAAGACGCGCGCGCGCGCGCGCGCAACCGTGCGCGCGGCGGAATTGCTCAATTACCTTGGCGCGGGAGGAGACGGGGGGAGGAAGGGGCAATTCTCCGCTCCGGCCGGCCTGCCGGCATGCGGAGGTAAATTGTCGATGGAACGTGGCGGGTTTACCTTTGTAAATTGGCGCAAAAAAGGCAAAAGCGCGCACGATCGCCGCGACGACAGCCGCCGCGCAGCGGACGTGCTCGTCGTTTTGCTCGTCCGAGAGAGGAGAGACTCGCCGTCGCTGCGAGCTACCGCGAAATTAAGGCCGTGCATGCGCCGGCATCGTTTGGCGCCGGGACACGTAGGGACGTAGACAGAGTTTGTTTTCTACCAAAGACTTTACCGAAGTAACGAGTCAAGTCCCTTTTGTTCCGCGCCCGCGGCGTTTTGGCGCAACAGATTTTTTTTTTTTTTTTTTTTTTGAACACGTCCGTGATTTTTTTTTTTTTTTTTTTTTTTTTGCGACGCGTATCTTACGCACGCTCTTACTTTCTTCCTCTCGTCGACATAACGATGAGGCTGTTTGCCAGATCATTCGAAAACATTTTCTTCTGGCGGTTCGCGTTCCAGAAATAAAGTCCTCCGACCTTCCGCCGACGACGATAAGCGCGATCACGAGGTCTGTGGCGCTTAGCGAGCAGCAATTTTCGAGGAGTTACTTTCTCTCTCTCTCTCTCTCTCTCTCTCTCTCTCTCTCTCTCTCTCTCTCTCTCTCTTTGTATCTCTTTCGTAAACGCACGTCGGTTTGAGTTTTTGACGCGAATAAAACGATGCGCCGGCGACCAGCCGCGCATTGCCAAGGTCAATCTAATCTTGGCCCTGTTAGGTGAGAGGAACCACTGACGTATACCGCCGCGTACACCGTCGCTCGTTAATAACGAGCCGAGTGTTCACGACAGAGCGCGTCCAAAAGTTCCGAGAAGCTGGTGGTACTTAGAATCTTGAAGAACGAGCTTGGCAACGCGGACCGATAAAAATAACCGCGATCGGATTAACTATATAACGGAGAAAATTTCATTAATCTTCGATAGCGAGAGCAACGTACCAACTAAATGTCCGTGATTAATCGACGGTAACAAATCGAAAGTTTTATACTCCAATAATTTCGAACGTCACGACTTCTCTTTTATGAACACGTCAGAAATTTTCTCTATTATCGACGATTTCCCGATATTCTTGCGCAACTAGAATGCGCCAACAGAGAAAGAGAGAGACAGAAAGGGCGATAAAAAAGAAGCAAGATGGAAAGAAAATCAAAGCGAAGTTAGAAGAGAGGAGAAAGATCATTTATTTTTGTCATTGAAACTGCGTTTTAATTTTAACGGTGTTAAATAAATTTTTGTGTGCTGTTAATCCCGTAATATGTTTCGGTGATATATTTTTTTTGGGGGGAGTGAAAGGGATTATATTTGCTTTGTTAGTTTTATTCATTCCGTCTATTTTTCTAAGAGTCTAAAAAGAGAGAGAGAGAGAGAAAAACATAATCATATCTTTCGTCTCTTGCTATCAATCGGTCGTTAACTGAAAGGGAAAGAAAATCAATTTCGAATTCTACGAAGAATCGGTCCCGCGCGCCCGAAATCATCGAGTGTCTGACCCGAGTAACTTCTGACTATTTGAAAAAACAGGAGCAAAACACAATTGTTGAGCGACGAGAGCGACGGCGGATTGCAGTCGCGAGCTGATCCGCGAATGTCTCTCGTATGTGTTATATCGTTGTATTATGCGCGCTGTCAAAATTCGAAATGACGTTTCAAGGCGAGTCGGCGACTATATCTACAGCGCCGATGCGCCACGTGAAAGTTAATCTCGCGCGCGTGTTCGGCAGCGCGTGTAACGTCGATCTCGAGGATCAAGAGGATTCTGGTCTTCATATGAAATGACAGTTAAATCTAACGCGACGGTTAAATCTAACGCGCGTTCTCCTCCGGTTTCCGTTTCTTGTCCGCGTTCCACGGTCGACCAACACGTGTGAAGAATAGAAGTGATCGATTCCGAATTTTCGCACGCGAAAATCAATTCCGGCAGAGAAGTTTTGCCAGATTGAACACAAGAATGCGCCAATACAAACAAACAAACGAGAGAGAGAGAGAGAGAGAGCAGTTCTCATCGTCGGCTCTCTCTCATCGTCGCAACAAGTTTGTGTTGCGCATCTTCCACTTTTAAACGTGACGCCGGATTCTTCGTTCGTTCGTTCGTTTTGCGAACTTCGGAATTGCGTAATCTGCGGAATTAAGACACAAATTGTGAGGTAATTCGAGACTCGTTGCAATTGTCGCGATAAAAAACGCCGTAAATCGGCGACGATCGTAGGATCCCGAGTTCGATCTCGGATGGGAATCGGCGATCGAGAAACGTGTGATTGTTGGGGAGAAGGCACGAACGCGAGAGATGACTATCTGTGCCGAGAGATATCTGCGAGAGAAGAGAGAATTCTCTCGATACAGTTACGGATCTTCAGAGTGTCTGTGTGTTTCGCGCGCACGTGATATCGCGCGCTCTTCTCCTCGGGTGTTTCATGCAAATGGAGCGGCGGCGCACTTGCGCGCGATGCGGAATACGCCAATCGAATAGAATAAACGCGCGGTAGTATTCTTGCTCTCGCGCGCGATCGTAAGTGGCCCGCGAGCTCTCTCGGCTTTTCGATCTTAATCTTCGAAGCAAGGTCGATACGAGGAGAGGAGGTGAGGGTGACTCCTCTCTCGACAGTAACTGACTTTATGACTCGCAACTTTTGCCGATCGCATCGAAAGCGCACGAAAAGCACTTTTTTCCTTCTCTCTTTCTCTCTTTCTCTCTTTCTTTCTTCGCGATTTCCCAGAAACCAGAGTTGCATTCACCTCTCCGCATTTTTTTTAGAGAATCGTGATGCAACACCACGTTCTCGATCGATCCAATTATACAAATCTTCGTATCTCATCGAGTGTAATGCGATTTCTCAATATCTTAATCTTTTAGGAGGTAAGCTCGATCGAGATGTAATTTCTCGTTTGCATTGAGAGAGGAGCGTTTTTCGTTATTGCGTAATCGCGCGCGGTTTTATGTGCCGTAACTTTCATAATAAACATTGTCGAAACTTAAAATAAAATAATTTACATATTGTTAATAATTTATAACATTGTAATTTTACACGTCAAAGATGCAAATCAAGCATCGCAGATGAATTTTCGAATTGAAATCAATTCGAATTTACAAGTCTATTGATTTACACACATAAACATTATTTACAATTAAATATTAAGGTCAATACGAGCCGGATGTGCAGTTATTTAATTATTTGTTTATTTCCTGTAACTCTTTGAAGCATAGTGGCATGAAAAATGTTCTTTGTGTGCTTGAACGTGCGCGTAATGGAACGCTGTTTGTACCATCTTTTTTTTGATTGTAAAATCCTGTGTTTTAAACGTGTAAATTAACACACGCGCGCGCGCGTGGAATATCGAATTAAAATTGAATTCGAACATTCACACAGGATGCTCGGCGCATCCCGTATATGTGAAATATTCATTTGCCCTTTTATGAAATTAAAAAATTTATTGCGAAAAAGACACTCTGTCCGGGAGTCGAACCCGGATCTCCCGCATTCCTTGCGGGAAGATTTATATTTGTGCATGTACATCTCCAGCACATTGGCTCGTATTGACCTCAAGCTGTCCGCTAGTTGCAAAAACTTTCACGAGCTTGAAATTGTTGCGAAAAAAAACATTTTATCTTTTAATAGCGAATTTTACGTTTATTTAGGTGATTGAAGAAAAATAAAATTTTGTACGTTAATTTAAAAAAAAATTCCGATTTCTTGCTATAAAATTTTTAATTGAATTACATCAAGTAGTTGCTTGTTTTCACGAGAGAGATGAAAGATCGCGAGTTGAGAAAACGATGTTTTCGCACGAACGTGTGTGTTTGCTTACCGTGTTCGTAACATCCGCCTGCATGTCTGAATCGTCCACGACTCCGGCTTTGACAAGGTCGTCTTCCTTCTCATTATCCGAGGTATTCAGGTATTCGTCGTAATCCTGCTCGGGAGAGCTTCTCGTCTTAGTATCATTCATCTTAGACGTGGTCTTCGCCCCCTGCCGATCGTTGCCCTTGACCAAGCCGATCGCTTTTATGTGAGATTTGCGTTCGGTCGCTCCGCTAAATTTGTCAGTCGAGTTTTCTTCCGCGGTCTGTTTGTTGACGAAATAACCCGGCCGGGGATGGGACGCGTTCGTGAACTTGAACAAATCCACCAGTTTGGTTCTCGAGTGGTTTTGCGGCTTGTGATTTCTGGAACCGTCGCGTCTCGCGTGCCTCTCGAGATTGCGATAATCCCGTTTGACGGTACTTCTCGAGGTGGTCGAATCGTCGGACGTGAGCCTTCTGATGATGTCGTCGTAAGTCTTCAGGAGCGGTTTCGTCTCCTTCTTGTAGAAATCGACGTTGTCGTCGTCGACGTCATCCTCGTTCTCGTCGTTCTCCTCGTTCTCGACGTCTTTCCACAATTCGTCCTCGTCGTCCCTGTCGTCCTCCTCCAGTCCGCCGTGATCCTCGTAATCCTCGTCCTCCTCCGACTCGTCGCTCTTTGAGAAATGATACTTGGACTCCGAGGAGTTCGATCTTCTTCTCCAATCGGAGTTCCACGGGTCGCTTCGTGAATTGACAACTTCCAAGCGATGTTTTCTCGCGCCGCGATAGCCGCTCGTTATCGGGTTTCTCCAGTTTCTTCCCGAATCGTGTCGCCTAAAATTTTTGCGCGTACCGCCGTTATGCTCGTACCTGTGCCTCTTGTAATCTTCCTGCGTGTCGTCGTAATCGTAGTCGGACGACACCTCGCGATTGCGCGAATACGCGGGCCTGTAATAAGTTCTGCCTCCGTAACGATGATTCTTTGCGTTGTATCGCGATGGTTGTATCCTGCGCCTGTCGTTGTTATCCTCGTCGTACAAGCCTCTGGCGTGATAATCGCCACCGACGTGATACCTGGGCGGGTAGCGCGGCTCGAACGTTCGACTGTGATAACTTCTCTGCGCGGATCGATGATGCGATCTCGGATGATTGTAGTATGATTGCGCGTCGTAATCGTCCTCGTCGATCGGGCTCGGTTCGTCGGAGTCCGCGTCGTACTCCGCGTCGTAGTCCTCGAGTTCCTTCCAGCCTCGCCTGTCGATCTCGTGATGACTCCTTCGGCTCGACGAGGACTCGTGCTTGTGCCTGTGACGATGTCTCGTCTCGGTCGTCGCCGCGTCCTCGTGCTGATGATACCGGCACTCAGCCACGAAGAGGCCGTAAGCCATCAGCAGGCCCAGCAGCAACAGCAATTTCCTGTCGCGCGTCATTTCGTCTCCGCAAAACGCACCGTCGTCTTCTCTTCAGACACCTTACATCATCACGCGCCACGTGACCGCGGCTTTCGCGCGGCTAGCACCTGTCGGGGTTGCCTCTCGATACCTCGCCAATCGCGGCCCTTAGCGGCGCATCGAGTCGGCTGTAATGTCGAGCGGAAGCACTCGCAACGATGATCGACACCACGTCGATCATTCCACGATCGAGGCGAGACGGCGCACTGCGGCGCGCCGCACCCTTCGAAAACCCTTTCCGATTACGCTCGCTGATCGGTTCGATGAGAAAATTCGGAATTCTGGGCGAGCGATTTGCCTCCCGACGTGAAATCGCAAAGTTGCGGTTGGATTGCAACAGCCACGTGACGACCCTAGGAAAGAAACTCGACCCTAGCGATTCCCTTCGGTTCCAAAAAGCAACTAACACTAGTAATACCGTAGTCACGTTGTGTGAGAAGATATTGCGTGAGAAAAACGTCTCAAGTCAGCGCCATTTCGCGTGCTACACCGCTGCGTATTCCGCAAATCAATGACGACCTAAAATAAAAATGTAGACTTTGTTTTTTTTTTTTTTCAAAAACCGAACGTTCACGCTAACTAACCAGAGGTCATTCGAATCACTTAGCACGTCGATCCGGTAACTTTTTCCGCAAGTTCGCGACCGGTTATCAGCGCGAGTTGGAGCGCGCTCGTTTCACACTTGTCCTCCGTGCGGGTTATTCAACGACCTGATAACGTCACCGCGCGCGACGAATTATCTCTTTTCGCTCGCTCGCTCGTCGTTCGTGCGATGGTTTTTTTTTCCCTTTCGAGTGTGGTTTTCGCTTTGCAATTCACAATTTCAACACCGTCCGCGCGTGTCCGTTTGCGAGGAGGAAGACACAGTATGTCACGTCGAATCGTATCGCGGACAGAATGTCGCGGGCAACTGAGGCCAGCCGGAGCGGCCGCCGGCTCGAAGAGATCGCAGACCGTACCGCGCATGCGTGCGAGCGATATTCGTTCCCACTACCCTCTCAGAGACGACCGTGGTACCTCGCCGTCACCGCCGACGCCTCCTTCGCCCCTTCGTCCTTCGCCTTTACCTCCGCAAGAAACGCACGGACCCCGCGGTGATGCGCCGTGAAACAATAGGCATGGGGGGCAAGACAAGTCCCGCGGACGCGATGGGCCGCATCAGGCCGCATCTCCGCCGGATATACACGGGATCAGCGGGATAGAGTTCTCTCGGGAATCCGTCACTTTCGATTGCTCCTTGGAAAGACTCTTTTCGGAGACTTGGAATTTTTCCGCAATAAATTGTTTTGGGTTTCCGCATTCGCAAGAGGAAACACAATTGGAAATTTAACTTACCGACACTTTATCGCGAGTCAGACTTAAAAAAAAAAAAAACAAATTATAACGAAGGAGGAAAATGATGTCTCGTCACGCTTAAGCTAATCGAGGTTGGAGAACTGTGAGCACAGGTGTGGTCACGCATCAGAGAAATTTATGCGTAAACCACCGCGACACGGCGCGATCAATACCGATAAGATACTTCGATCTGATGATATTTTTTGAAATTACAAGAGATCGTTGCGCTTCGATATGCTTTGTGCGAACGTTGAATAACAAAGCTGGAAAAATTGAAGCCTTAGTTAAGGTGTCGCGCGCAAATAACGCGCGAGACTCCTTCTCGTAGAGGTCCTTCGCGCGCGTTGCGCACTTATCGGAACCGGTTTTCAATTTATTTCGAACGAACGCGACATTATCCGCATTAGACTTTCGTGGAGATTGCTTCTTGTCTACGATAAAAGGCATTAAATTGATTTACTATCGGACGGCAAGTAATAGGCACGTCCAATGTATCTTAATCGCGGACTGATTTCGAAGCGAATGTGCAACAATGTAAGAGCAATGTTAGTTTTTTTTTTTTATTCAGCAATTTATTTATTAGTAAAAGGAAAAATGTCAAATTACGGTGATACAAAGTTTAGAATCAAAGTAACAATTTTAATAAAAAAAAAAAAAATGCAACAAAGATATTCGAGAGGAAACTGCGTGTTTTCGGACAGCGAGAGAGACACACACGGGTGACGTATCTGACGAATTAAGTTCCGACCAAATGGATGACCGATGTTTTGAGCGCGTTATTATCTCGCTCTTAATCTCGGACTTTTGCGCAAACTTCCATTTTTTCTTTTGCGCACGCTTGCGCGCGCGATTGCCCAACTGTCACTGGAGCTTTTAGTCGAATGAGATATCGCGCGAATGACGCTAAGAAGAGAGCAGCGCGCGCGGGTTCGGAGATTAATCCCTCTCTCGCGAGTATCCCTTCTTCTTCACGTTCTTCACTTAACGTACGCGTAACCGATGCGGGGAACCGTGCATTTCTCGCGTCGCAGATTCGCCATCCGTCGATTTTACGATCGTCCGGGTCGCGAACGACAGTTGAACCCGGTTTCTCTCCTCCGCCGCCGGGTGTTTCATTCACTTTCGCGCCGCCATTCAGAGACTCGTTCGGGCGCAGACGACGCGAAACCCCCCGTCCCGAAAAGAGAGAAAAAAAGAGACTCTCCTCGTGTGTGTAAAAAGAGAAAAAGCGGAAAGAGGATTCTGTCACGATGTTGTTCGAGAGAGAGATCGCGAAGGAAGTCGCGAGAGAGAACGCGAGAAGAAGGAAGACGCGATCGCTGATGCCGATCTCGCAACCGGTACAACAAGGACTGGTTTTTCGTCGCGCACGGAGGTCGGCCAGACGCTTTTTGTCGCCCTTTTAAGCCGTCCGCGGTGATAAATAAACACGGGAGAGCCCCTTCCTTCTCCGTTTGGCTACCACATCGCGCTCCCGTTCCCCCGATCGATCGACCGATCTTAACGCGCGCGATCTGTCGCCGCGAAGAAACGTCGTCGTCGGCATGTCACCGCCGGACTTTTTCTGACGCAACGGAGGAAGCTCGGAAAAGGGAAACGCGCGAGATGTCGAGTTGTTTTGCTCTTTTTGAAACATTGTTTTTTTTGTTTTTTTTTTTTTTTTTACGTCTCAGGAAATAGAATCGTTTAACCGAGCGCACGTGTGCGCGATAACTCGCTCGCGCGCTTCGCGATTTTGTTTCGCGAAAAAATTCAGACGAGGCGTAACGTAGAGATTCGCAGGTTTCGATTTTCTGTTTAACACGCGAGAAATTTATACGAAAATTCGAACGCGCGCTTTTCACTCAAATTGTTGTTCTTACGAAATAATAATCGATAGAACTGAAGATTGTGCTCTCGCGTGTCGGAGACTTCTCGTTTTCTTGAAATGTCGCGAGTGTTAAAGTAAACGACGGGTGTCGGTCACAGCTTGAAGCCGGGAAAATTGATTTTACATCGCGGTTATCCGCCGGTCACGAACGGTGCGGTCGTTTGCGCGTCGTCTCGTCGTCATGAATTTCTCTAATTATTTCGCTTTCACGCCTTGTCGTTGTTCGTGCGTGTTAATTTGTATTCATTTGTCAGGATTCGCCGCGCGAGAACAAACGCGCGCTCGTTAACGCTGACGTTTAAAATGACGATTAAATCGCATCCGGCCGGGGAACAGAATTTGCGCGCGCATATGGAACGCGTGTAATCGCGCGCGCTGCACGCCAGATAAATTAAGTGTGACACACCAGGTGATAGAGAAAGAGAGAGAGAGAAGCATCCACTTAATAATATTAATAGTTTTAATACTCAACAACATTGTAATACTCAATAACATCTTATTAAATAATATGAATAGTTCAATACTCAATAAGATAATTAGCCTAGTTAAACAATATTACTATTTAATCTGGTTAATTAATATATTTAATTTGTTAAACAATATTAATAATCCAGAAAATATAACAAATATCACTAAACTATAACTCAGTTGATTAATATTTAATCCCCAGTGAAATAACATTAATAAATTCCGAAAATAAATAACATTAATACATAACTTAGTTAATTAATATTATAACTCAAATAATATTAATATGTAATCCAGTTAATTAATATATCTAAACCCATTATGATATATTTAGTCCAGTTAAATAATATATTTATAGTTTAATATAACATATAGTAATATTTTAATTACTCAGCAACAAGTAATATCTATATTTAAATCTGATAATCTAATTTACGTTATTTCTCGTCGCAAACGTTAGAGAACTTTTTCGCGTTACACGCAAGGCGAGAGACGTTGACTGTGAGATCTTCCGGCGCCCAACTGCGATCGTCGAGAGAAACGCTCGGACAATACCGCGCGCGGTTACGTGAGGATTCCATCAAGATTTTCGTAGACACGAAACGAGATTAGTCACGGCGGATTTAAGCGCGCCTTTCGTGCCAAGACACGCGAGAGAGAAAGAGGAGAGGATATCGATTTGTTCTACTTACAGAACGCGCGTGGGCTCGCGCCTCGAATGCGCGTACGTGCAAGTTTTCCATAAGTCATCGACTTAAAGATTCGTGCGACGCTCGTCGTTGCTCGTACTTACATCCCGGCGACGTCTCCTCGTTCTGTTTCTCGCGCCCAAAAAATCTTTCACGTCCTTCACGTGACGCGTGATTATATAATTGACAATCAACAAAGGCGCGCAAAATATAATACACCTTCGTGATCGTTATATCGAGGATATCAGTCACAGTCGTGAAATACTTACCTCATTACTCGCAAAATTGACGCGTCAAAACGTTAATTTCTCATCCGAGTGTTTTGCTTGTTAAAACTCACGTGAATGCGGTAATTTGCGTCAGTGTACACCGTGAAGTCTTCCTTCGATGATTTGTGTTTTAGCTTGCGACAAGTTTTAATGTGAATTTCATCGACCAAATGACTGGGTATTATTATTATTATTTTTTTTACGGTGTCAATCTTCTACTCTTTTGTTTTGCCGGTCACTGAAGAAAATCTATATATATATTTGGATCGCAACGTGTGACTCTTGTATTTTAATAAAATTGCACACACACATACAAACATCTCGGGACCTTCGTTTAAATTTACAGTAGTCGTGGATTAATAAAATACAATGGCATAAATTGGAACTCCGTTTTCTTCGTCGGCGTGTGTTGCACATTTCCGTCTTCTGATTTCTCATATGTTTCGATCAAGGTCCGGTTCGGGTTATCAGCGGAGATTATGTTTTTAGGTCACTTTGCCAATTCTATATTGGTCTATGTGTAATACTTAATTTTTTTGTGCGTTTTATACGTCAAATCGATGCGATAGATTTATTTATTCGAAATTCTTCTAACGTAATTTTGCGATAATACATGATATTTTAATAAATACACACACATATCTAAACGCGAAGAATCACCTCGGATCGAGAGCGGATCGTCGCCTCGTGTACCAAACCATGTGCCGCGTGCGTAAATTTATACGCGTAAGTACTTTCTCCTGCCCTTCTTCTAGCTACAGAAATAAATCACGCCCAACACGCTAAAAACAGTCGAGAGGGCATTGCCGCGTCCGAAAAATGCCGGCGCGGAACACCCGCCGCGGCGGCCAATCTGCACGCGTCGCATTTTCGTTCTGATGATCTCGCTGGCTCTCGCGTGCACGTAGAGAATCCCATTTTGCACGGTGCACCTGCCGAGCGGTGACGCGCGCGCGCGCGAGAGAGAGAGAAAGGCAAAGAACGCGAATCCGATTGTGATAATAACCTGAAATAAAACTTCTTCTGCGTCCCAAGGTCGCCGCGAAGATCTTTGACACCTCTCGCGCGCGCTCTCTCGTCATCCTCCCACGTTGCGACGACTCGCCGATTCTCTCTTCTTTCACCGCGTTTTCTGTTTGAGAGATTTCCGCGCGAGAAAGCGGTTCGTCATCTCAGGAGAAATAGAAGATACGGCGTTTGAAGGAAACTCGCGCGGCGCCCGAAAGACGTTCGTTGATCTCTTTGAACTCATTCGAGAACGCGTTTTGTTAACGCGCGTGTCGTTTCTTTCACAACGACACACGCTTTTATCCCCCGGCCGGGAAAAAAATTTACCGTCATTGAAGTCCGACGGATATCAAGCTGGCGGAAGTGCTCTCCGTAGATAACTAGACGACAAACACGGAGGAAAAGCAAATAGGACCACCGACCCTACGGGGGTATATACGACTGACGACACGGCCCGTATCTCAAACGCAAACACAGTTCATGAGAACCTTTTAGTCTCCTCTGAAATTTTTTTCTCGCTTGTTTTTATTTAACTGAAACAACGGCCGGTAGCTCTAATAAGCGATGCCTTTGTAACGATCTTTATAGCCTCGCTTCAAAATGGAAGTCGGTTTATTTGAAAACTCGCTCTCGGCGGTTATCGCGAGCGATTGTTACGAGATGGTCCACACAAATATATATGTATTCCGGCGTGTATAAATGTACTAGCGCTGAAAGCGTCAATGTAATAATAGAGAATATATCGCGAGAGACGCATACGATCGTCACCATTCCCTGTGACATAAATCCGGATTATCTCGTTTGTCCGCAACTATACGCGTCGAACGTTTGCATTCCATTTTCACAGACAATTACACGCGACAATGACCGCGCAGCGATCCTGGGCGTTCCACCGAGAATTAGCAAACAGCGCCATTATATTAATATTATATTTTGTCATTACATTGCACACACGATGACACAGCGAAAATTTGAATTGTTCTACGTTCAGATTGCGATCTGTTGTGTGTTTTCTAGCTTCTGTGTGTTTGAAGCTCCGGCGTTGGGTTTTAAATTCGACGTCTGTTCGCGCGAACAAACGTCGATTCGTCGCTCTCGCGAAGTTCGAGAGAATTTTTTTTTTTTTTTTACACGATTTTAATAATTTCAAACGACGCAGCGAAACAATCGGAAATGATGAAAAGTAATGAGAGTAACTTTATACAAGACAAATTTCTCTCTCGATACTGTTTTACATAAATTGTTTTATTGACTCGTTTTATCAAACGCAGTGCGCACACTCGCACCGCAAACCGATACCTTCATGTCCTTTGGCTCAGATATGTGGCTTACCGTAAGAAACTAATAGAACATTTTATGCGGGCCGCACCGCTCTCTAGACCGAAGATATGTCGAAACGCAGGTACCGTGGATATACAGGGAAATACAGGCGAATATTGCGAACGTTATCTCATGCGTGACGTTAAATACATAATCGTAATATATATACGTACGCGCGTGCAAGTGTCGCACGTTGTACGATAACAACACACACATGTACACACAAACACACATCTTCACACACGTTTAATACGAAATTATACGTCAATAAAAAAAAAATAAAAAATAAAAAAATGATAGAGCATCTTAGATTTGGAATATTATGTTTTTGTTTACGCAATCACTTCGAACGCATTAATTATAATTATCTACGTAATTGCTCCGCTCATAAAGTATTTTTAAGTGTAATACGGAGATATATATATATATATATAAGCAAACTTTTTAATATAAACTATATATAATATATATATATATATATGTATATATATATATGTGTATATGTATGTATGTATAGGTACAGCATTATTTTTTCACGTAATAAATGTAATTTCGATGTACAGCGAGTGATTCTAAGTAAGTGCGAAAAATTTTAGGAGATGATTCTTTGTCAAAAATTAAAAGAGATCTTTTACACAAATATACTCTTACATTTTTCTCTGAGGGGTTACATTTCTTCAAAGAATGAAAATTAGATTTTTACTGTTTTTTTCAAACTGTGAACAAGTTAAAAAATAAAGTTTGTAGGACATTTTTCACTTTTTTTTTTTTAAAGAAAATAATAAGAAATTGAATAAGCGTTTTATCTCTTTTTATAACAACACCGGAGGGTTGAAAAATATCAATAAACGTCTGTTTTACTGGAAAATGTCCATCGAATTTTACTTCTTTAACTTCAAAATTTGAGAAAAACAATAAAAACCTAATTTTCATCTCACTTTTTGTGGGAACTTCTCAGAGAGGAATACAAGAGTACGTGTTTATACAAAAGACACCTTCTTTATTTTCGGCAAAGAATCATCTCCTGAAACTTTTCGCACTTATTCAGAAACATCCTCTGTATACATATACGAATGATGAAAAACGCGAATTTTTAATTTTGTACGTTTTTTTTTTATATTTTGCCACATATATGTCGGAAAAAATGACAAACATGTTACAGTCGTGAAACGTTTGTTGCGTCGAATAATTTGTTTAAGTACAAATACAAATCTTATCGACAACAGCGGGTGTTTGTTCGGTAGATAGAGAAATCTCGCGTGGAAAATGTCTTGCTATGGAAAATTGTTGTTGTTCGCGACGAATGTCTCAGAAGAGAGACTCTCGTTTCTTAAGAAAAATGCAGTCGAAAACGCGGACGAAAATCCGATCCGAACGATCGCGACGAAATGAATCGAACGAATATTTTCGATGTGCGATAAGTTGGCTATCGGATATTCGTCGACGTGTCGTTCTTTCGTTTCTTTTATCGGAAGAGTCGCGTGTGAAGAGTCGGAACCCTCTCGGATCTCGCGAAGACTCTGTTTTCGATATCTGTGTTTGAACTTCACAGCATTCTTGACTGAGCTAGAAGAAGCACCAGCGACGCGACTAGAGTCAACGCCGCCGATGTTATCGTGGACGCGCCCGAGAAATCGAGTTTGTTTCTCAGATCATCCGGCACGTCCACGTAGATCTTGTCGACTCCCACTTCCTTGATCAATTTCGAAAGTTGCGCCACGTTGACGGAATCGCCCTCCGACGACCAGATCGTCAGTGTCGCGTTGACGAACGTCGAGTTCTTCAGCAGAGTCTTGATGACCTCGGTATTGTTCGCCACGAGACCGGCTCTTACCGGATAAGTTACCGGCTGCTTGATGTTGCTCTCTATCAGAGCGTCGATCATCGCTTTGATCTGCTCCGAGGTGTATCCACCCTCGGTAATGTTGTGCTCCTTTCCGTATCTGAAACGTATTAATTGGACGTTGAGTCTTTAATCTTACCGCGTAAGTTATAGGAAAAAAATAACATTTTTTAAAGTTTTGACGTTGCTTTTACGTGCTGTGAATTTGAGAGATACGTTAAAATTTTTCGAATAATTCTTTTTTTCTTCTTGCTTTTAATGAAGTACACGTACAAGTAAAACAACTGCACAAACAATAATAATATAATTGTAACGTTATATCTGTTATTTTAATTGTGTGAGAAAAAACCTTGATATAGTAAACGTTTCTAGCGACTGACGTGCGTGTGACGTGCAATAGACACAAGTATTTTATTGGACGCTGGATTTTTCCTTTCAGGGACTTATTATATTTATAACTCTCTTTTTTTATAAGAGAGAGAGAGAGAGAGAGAGAGATCGTGCCATGGTCATGGTGTACACGTCTTTGCTTATACGGTTGATTAATTGCAAGGCTCTACACGTTAGGAAACTGCTCTATTGTTCGACGTGCGATATAAAAATTTGTTTTTTTTTTCTTTTTACCTGGTTGTCCAGCCAACGGACAGAGTACTGTCCGGCATGACTTCGGCGGCCTTTTTCAGAAAATCTTTCGGATTGAGCGGGACGGCGGTGGCGTTTACCGGGCCCCGAAGAATGTCCGCGTTGAGGAAAACCGGAAACGTCAACTTGAAAAAAAAAAAAAAACAACAAATGTGTTTTATTTAAACGTTTCGAACACTCGCAAAAACGTGCGGTCAAATTGTAATTAAAGATTTGCGCTTACGTTCTGTCGGAACTTGGCGAGGATAGGCTTGCTGTTCTCGAACACCTCGTCGGACTTGAAGTCAAGCTTGACGCCCTTGCTGACGTTCTGGGCTGAAATGGTTAGATTGAGGAAGTCCTCGAGTGACAGATCGCTCTCCTTGGCCGGTGGATGCGCCATTATCGGGATATTATTAGTCGCGTTGCTAGTGTTGAGCTTGCCCATCACAACGTCGGCCTCCAGCATCATAACGTCCTCTTTAAAAAGGAAAGTCGGGTTGTCTCGGGCTGATTCCGTGTGTGTTTGTGTATGTGTGTGTGTGTATGCATGTTCCGTGTGTGCGTAGCTGCCAGGCAGCTGCGGTTGAAGGGGAGGGTTCCGGGATGTGCATACACGTGCAGGGAATATCGATCACCAGCCTAAAGAGGCTGGAAGACTGCCGGTCCTACACATTCTCAACGCTCAAATGACCGAACACTCCCGTGGCGTTTTTATCAACAGACAGACGACTACGAAAGCAATATCGGTCGTTTGAAAATTGCAACACGAATGAACGGGTTTTCCGCGAGCTTTGTGAAATCGGGTTTTTCTTTCTCTATTTTGCTGATATCAAAGTGACCACTGCGATGCTTCGAGCGAGATTAGGAGGATTATGAAGAAGACGAGCGCGTACCTCTTCTGGCGCGTATTAGAGGCGTATGACAAATTGATCGAAGATACGAAGTCTATAAACGGAAAATCGAACAGTTTAGAGGTTTTGCTTTTTTTAGATACTGTATTTATTTATTACTGAAGATCGTGTCTCTCGAAGACGCGAACAACATAACAACACGAGAAAACGGAAGTTTGACCTTCGACTACAACCGCTTCCATCCTGGCTCTCTTCATTGAGATTCGATGGGCGCGAATACCGCTTTTCGAGAGCTTCGCATCGGACGTGACTGCGTACAAATGAATTCTTCTCGTCCGGGAGAGAGAGAGAAAGAGAGAGAGAAAGAGAGAGAGAGGGAGAGTCAATCGTACGAAGGTGGAAAAGTTGTATGTTACGAAAAGAATTTCTTCCACTTCGGGGTCTTCTGTGAGTCGGGGAAAAAGTTTCGAAATAAGGATCGAAGTTATACGGCTTTTAGCTTATTCGGGATCGTGACGCGCGTTTGTAACAATGGGGGAGAAAAGTATCTTTGTACGAAAATATATACGGGGAAATGTAATTGATGTAACTCGTATTTTATACATGTGTGCGCGCTCGCGCACACACACACACACTTTTTGTGGAAGCGTGTGAAAGAAGCAGTCTGGAGGAAGCAGACGCTTTCCCATGAAAGCTTTCTCCCTCTCGTTGTCAATATTTCTGGAAGCGCACTTCTCAAGGACGCTTTGCCATTATTTAAAGCGCGCCGATGTAAAAATATATGTCACCCATGCGGGCCGCATACACAAAGCCTCCGCGCGCGATCGGACGACATGCGGGATATATATCCGTGGAAAAGTGAGAGAGAAGCGCACCGATATACAAGGCTGGCAATTGCGCGTAGCAAAATGTCACGAAGTTCATTAACTAGTGATGTGTTGACGAACGATCGCGAACCCGCGATAAATTGGTTATCCCCATTGAGACGCATTTTTTTGCCGAGGTCACTTTTTCGCGTTACATTTCGCTTTATCAAATATTTAACCGCCGCGGTATTTAAATAGTTTCGAGCTGACGCGTCAAGTAAATATTTGAATACATTTTGGTCCAAGTTAGTCTAAAGTGTTCGAGTGTATATTTAAGTGTGTGAAAAAGTATAAATTGACGGTAAGAGAGAAAAGTGGATACATACATTTTTAATAAATAATTGAATTGTGTTTCAAGGCGACGCGCGCTAAGTAAATATATAAATATAAAGTTGGTTCCGGACCCTCCAAAGTATTCAAGTAAATATTTAATTCATATACTTCCCGTAAAAGGTAGAAATTTACGGACGGGAAGAGAAAAAGATCACAATATATTTTTAATAAAGTAAAATACATTTTTAACAAAGATTTAATAATTTTATATTTTTAATAAAGATTTTTAATAATTTGTTTTCCACATACACGCGTGTTTTCCTTTGTTTGATAGACTTTTGGAATTAAATCGAAAATTGCATTTACGCGAAACAGAACGATATTGGCGACTAAAAAGATTTGAAAAACCAATTAAACGTAAAGCTATTAAGATAGCTCGCATAGTTTTGTGGACAATATGACGTCGTAATTTTTCAAATTTTCTTTTAAATGCATTTTTCATGTCTTGTTTTAAAAAACACTACAGGAAGTAGTTTTGTCAAGAGTATATTTTCAATCTCTTTGTGTCTATTAACTTTATGATTTGTCATAAAGGTTATATGTATATTTCTCTGGATTGTCGGGATCAACTATACATTATTGTTTCATTTTTTTTTTGTTTCCAGTGCGAGTGTCCTTTTTCACATTTGTGTTATCACGATCTGGCTTTAAAATTATATATATTTTCGCGACCGTTAGGTTTCGCTGAAATAACAAATAATTAAATTGTTTCATACTTACCCTTTTTTTTAATTAAGTTTTATCTCGATTGAGAGTAATTTTGATAAAATTAAATCTAGATTTTGAGAAAATCTTCTATCTGAAAACCGATTCACATGTTTCATTACGTCGCGCAATAATTGTCTTCAGAGCAATCTCCTTTGTAACAAGGTGAGAGAGATATGTACCTGAGCGCACACGAAAGTGACCGCAGAGTAACATTTCTCTGTCTGTGAGCGCGACAAACGAAAAACGAAGACGAAGCCGTTCGATCGATCGATTAAAGGATCGACTTACCCGACGAGAGCGCCGATTCCAATTTCGCGAGACTGTTGACGGCGTGCGCCCAAACGATCTTGGTGAGATTGCCTTTGATGCCGGGGAAGAAAGTGCGAGGATCTTGGTACATGCTTGTACTGTTGTTTTTGCTGTTGTCGCTGTTGCACACCGCAGTCTCTGAAAACACAAGCCTTCGATCATAATCAACATCAATATATATATATATATATACACCCACACACACACATACACACACACAAGCGGCGGCCTCGATTTTCGCATTCGCTCCACAATGTACGAACTTGACCTTCCGCATTAGTATTCTCGAAAACCTCTCGACCCGTGACCCAATATTTGAAGGATTCGCTTCATAATTGATCTGGGAACTCGAGAATTTCTCGTGCGCGGCGCAGGCGGCGGCGGCGGCGGCAGCGGCGGCGGTGCCGACGACAACGATCGGCTCAGAGACGCGACCGAGAATCTCGTTCTCTCCCTATTGTATCCCGCGTACGATCGATAATCATGCCCATTTGTCACGCCAGTCGCAAAAGCTAACCTTTCGACTGTGTTACACACACACACACACACAGTTTCTGACGCGCATTTCGCGAAACTGTGATCGGCAAACCGTGTGCGAATGAGGATTGCATCTTGTTGAGTCACATTTTGTTTTCCTCGCGCTATGTACACTATTTCTTACGCTTTGATTATCATCCCGGCAGCGGGAATGTCGATATAAATGAATTATGTGCAAGGGGACGCGCGACCGTACAGTCCGGGAAAAAAAAAAATACAAATGCGAACCGTCCTCTCTCTCTCTTGAGGACGCGTTCGAATGAATGAATAATGGAATTGCGTTCGTCGGTTTCTGCGTTGTGGAATTTTCCACGGCACGAGACTCGAAGAGTCTCTCTTTTTCCGATGAGCCAGACCGTTTCCGGTACATTCCCGGACCATGTGGCGAGCAAGTTTCGCGCGTTAAGTGACCCCTCTCTGAAACAGATTGCGAGGGCGATTGGCCTTTCCGTCGCTGACTCTTTCAACTGGATTCTTTTTGTGAATCGCTTATAACGAACTTGCGCTCGCATGCGGAGCAAAATCCGTTAGAAAGCTAGCTTTGATATTAAAAAAATCAAATCTCACGAGGAAAAAATTTTTTAATACCGAGAGAGAGAGAGAGAAACTGAAATTGAAAATAAAAACCGTGTAGTTCTGACCGGAGTCTTGACGAAACGGAAGTCTTATTCGAAGCGATCAGATGACTACGCGTAAGGAGATACGCGTGTTATTTTTTGTGTGTTTTGATTATTTTGAAGTTTTTGACAGGTTTAAAATCTGTGTAACTTTTTGCGTCTGAAGTTTTTAAATCGTCAAGATTTCTTAAAAATATCGAACTTAAAACTGTAATATAAAAGTAGCTCAGAATTATTGCATCTAAATATTACGAAAAAAATAAATTTCAAAAAATTAAAATCTTGTTTTAGAGCGATCTAATTTTTTTTTTTTAATTAAGAACTAGATATCCGCAAAATGAAGCTATTTGGCCGGTCAGAACTATCGCGATTTTCAATTAGAAATTGGTCTTCTATTTTTTTTTTTTTTTTTTTTTTCCAACTCAAACTTAAATCAGTGCGCAGAACTTTTAATAAAAGAGGTCTACAGAGACCTCTTGGTCTCTTCCAAAATAAAAAAGCAAGCACTCTAATCAGAACTATGGAAATTTTTCGGTGTGCCAGAGCTTAACAGACGCGTGTTTGTTCATTGTTTGTCTCTACCAGCTCGTAATCGGAGCTTAAAACACACTTCGGAGAGAGAGCCTTTCTCGCTTTCTTTCTCCCAGAGACCGCAGCCGGGATTAAATTGCTCTACGGCGCTTGTTAAGGCGCTCGGAATTTGTCGTTTATTTTTTGCAAACTTATCAGAACTAAAAAATTCTCGCGCACAGAATCGATAGCTTGTCGCGCCCGTGATGTCGGCTGACTCGTTTCCGGTTCGGCAATCGCGGGGTGAGCCGGATTCGCGCCGGCCGGTGGAGAAATGCTGAGCCAGGTGGTTTTTTTTTTTTTTTTTTTTTTTTTTAGTATTAATAGCAGCCTCCTGTCCGTGTAATTTCGCGCAGTTCATTTTACGGCTAATAACCGTCGTTATCTGAACATCAATACCCGTAGCTACAAACAGACACGGTATTTTCTACAGAATCCCCGACAATTTTCACAAAACTTCTCTTCCGAGCAAAAGGATAATATTGAAAAACTTCGAAAGCAGAACAAAAAAAAGTCGCAAAATACCTTTCTATTGTTCGAATGAAATAACACATAGTTTTGAAAAAGTTTTGAATATTTAATTTAATTATCTATCTACGCATTGGTGACCGAAAGATTGTCACGATCGGATTACATTTGCCAAGCAAAGATGTCGTGACATCAAACTTGGCGGCCACTCCCGCGTTAATTTAATGACATTCCTATAGGGAGTCTGGTACTTAGATAGTCAAGGAATGACTCAGTGTAGATAGTATTTGAACTGGTCACGCACCGTTGAAGTCATTTTGTTTCATCGCTCATAATGTGTCAGCAATGTATAAAGCAAGTGTTTTCTGAAAGGTTTCATTTTCTCGAAAACGCTCGGTTTGTCAAAGAGAGAGAAAAAGAAAGAGAGAGAGAGAGAGACATTTGGATGTCGCCATGTGCGCTTTGTTCTTGCCGAAAACTCGGATCTTCTCCGACGAACGCTACGTCAGATCGCTACGGGATCTTGGAAACGACTAATTCGGTTTGTTGAACTCGGACAGAGACCGTACTATGTTCGAACCGGTTCGGTTCTAGAGGGAAAACCGTGAGAGCGGTTTCGTTTTGTTGCGAACGCGTTACGATCCAAGTCCGAAGGCTGCGACGAGATCGAATCGACCTCGCTCGAGTTCACGCGAACTAATGGCTCGGACGGACAGTCGATCGTTTGTTTCCCGAGGTGCAACGTTTCCTGATAACTCAATGTGTCGTTGCGCCTCCTCGCTCGTGTCCCTCAGGAAACTTCCTCGATTGGTATTACGAAGTTTCTTTCGTGGTGTAAGAAAAGTAGATACGCGATGTGGGAGAAGATAAACATTTGTTGCGCGAAACATGATGTGCGCTCTCCCCTCGATCTTCACGAAAAAGAAAAGTTTTGCTTGTTATGTTATCAGCGAGAAAAATTTTGGCCGAGGTTAACCGAATTTTTCGTCTCATCAATGAAATGCTGGCAAAACAAAAACTCCCACAATAGATTTGGCGAATTTTTCTCGCTGTATATAGCGAAAACTAATCAAGTTTTTTTTTTCCCGCGCGGAAGTCGATGAAAATAAATGTGCGACGCGCCGAGCGCGTAATATCTGGACAATCGAGATGTGTCAGAAAAAGAATGCAATTAAATTTTATCGATTAAATTATCGACCAGCTCGCTGGTCTCGCGGCCCGAGTGCGGAACATGGAGATTCCGTTGAGTTCGAATCCGCTCATCACATTTTTTCAGGCAGAGTTTTTTTTCCATCCGGTCCCTTTCAATCGAGTTGATCGAATGATTTACCAAACTGAGAATGGAATTATCCAACAATTAATTCTGGTGTAATCTCAAATTAATTTCCCTCCCGCAAAGCGGTTGCAGTCATACCGGCCTGAGCACGAGCCTGATACAGATAAAAGTACTCTCATTGTGAGAAACAGCCGTGTATTGTGTACTGTAGTATATATATATATATATATGTAGCACTGAACAACTCTCTTCTCCACGTTCTGAGAATATTCCAGACATCTAGAATGGCCTTAGACTAACGATAAGCCTTAGATCCATAAGCGCGCACCAAAACCTTTCATTACTTACATAAAAATTCAATAGGAAGGATGTTTCAAACGTGCATGAATTTCGCGTGTATAAAGAAAACCGACACCGCGCGCGTGCATGAAATTTCATAAACAAACTTTATACAGAAGGAATATATTATTATTATTGCAACGAATGTGACAATAAATTCAAAACGCACAAACTCACGCGCTAAAAGATCTTATCCGAGAGGTTGTGCGCGAAGATAAGTTACTCTTAATCTTTTGAATTTTTTGTTACTTTTATTACAATAGTATAAGTTCTTTTTATTTATTAATTGTTTTGCATCCGCGAAAAGTGAAAAAATTGCACAACGCGATGCAAACTGTTCAACAAAAATCTGGCAAAAATAGTGTCACCGGTTGAATTTTCTCTTATCTCATAAAAGTTTTGACAAACTTTGATCCTATTTTTTACCGTTAACACTCGAACGTCAGTTCTCTCTATCGCTCTCCGCGAGAGCGTGTCGAATGTCAGAGAAATGGTATATCGACCGCTTCTCAGCTGCGCAGCAGCTCTCGACCGAGCGCTTTATCGCGTTCCCGTATTTTCTTAGCTCCGTACCTTCGTTCCGGAGGTATCTCGCGCGGTTACGACAAGGATGCGGCAAAGAAATCGAATTGCAAAGGCTTCCAGTCTCGTGAACAACGGCTCCGTGGCCGCCTTTCGCGGTATACAGAGAGATACACCCGATGCCCCCGTGGACCGATAAAGGCATCTTTCACGCGTCACTGCGTCCAGTATAGTTTGCAAATAACCGCAAACTACCGCGCGCGCGCGCCGTTTTCTCTTCCGCTTAGAATGCGCTTTTGAAGGCTTCTCGCGCGGCTTCTCTCCTCCGCTAGCGAGGAAGCGGGCGGATCTTCTATTAAAGTTTTACCTTCAGTCAGCCGGTCTCTCCCGGTCTGACAAAGCGTGACTTATGGTCGTATCCATTACCGAGGAAGAAGAACTCGCGAGTCGCGATTAAAGTGGAAATCAGTCGATCGAAAATACGAATTTGGAAACTTCGGAGCGAAGTTCGACATCTCCGACGGATTCATCCGAACGGAATTTCGCGTTAGTTATCTTGACGGATTCAAAATGCAGAATGGGTCACTGACTATCACAAAGTTTTGCAGGAATTGGAAATTCGCGCGCTCAATCGCGATCGATATTTCAAGCCTCGCTCTCAAAAGAACTTTAATTAAAAAAAAAACTGTCTCCAATTTTTTTTTATTTTTAATGACGATATTATAATAACGGCGGAAACTTTTGTGTTTTTAAAATACGCGAACGAGCTTTTAAATAATTATTTAATATAATGCGTTGGCAATTTGATTGTCTTTTTTGAAACACATCGAGAAAGAAATTTCAAAGTATATGTTAAAAATAATAAACAACTAAATTAATTACACATTAACGATATCGCGAAACGAATCACGTGATTAAAAGATGATTTATGTGTTTCGAGACAACAAGTGTGTCATGACACGTTGATGACAGGTTAATGGTAAATAAATAACGACGTGCGGACCCTGTTGTGTGACAGACAGCTGGTGGACCACTTGTTTCGAGCTGTTCAAAGTGCGCGTATACATTCCATTTGTTTTTTGAGATAAAGCGCGATATCGCGTTCTCCGAATCGATTATTGACTTCGCGCTGTGTTTACAGAAATCCCATATATAAGTTCTGACGCCATCAGATGGAAAAAAAAAAAAAAAGCTTTGCTTAGAATAGCAACAAGAGTTAGTTAGCGGCAAGAAAAATTTTCCTCTTGAAATTTCTCGTGTTTTGCAAACAAAATGTTTGTTGACAAAACAATAACATCCTGTGGATTCATTAAACTTTTTTTTTGTTACACTAACAACAAAACTTTCTTCTTCCTCGTGCGAAAGTGCCATTATGTCCCGGACAGTCAAATTCGACTTCTTCTCAGATTTTTCAGACACGTCTAGAAGATCGCGCATAAGGAAAAGAACAATTTTCTGAGCTTCTTGAATTTTTTGTTTTACCAACAAAATATTCTGGCAACAAATACAATAGCAAATTTTTCTCGCTGGCCATAGTAGTAACTTAATCTTCGTGCTATTTCAGCAAAAACGTTTTTCCGTGTCGCGGGCACTTGGCGAAATACAATTTTCAACAGACACCGGTGTCAGAGAACATCCGAGCGTTGGAACATCTCGCTCTCAGGTGGTGAGCGAGAAACGACGATCGCGGCGATGATTCACATTTTCTCCGATCCCAGATAAGAACGGGAAATAGCACATCGCCGCTATCTATCTCCGTGCGCACTCGAATGTATCTGTTTTGTCGAGACGGCGATAAAAACGACAAACACTATATAATGCATTCTAGATTACCCCGCGGTTGTACGACGCTCGAATAATTTCCACCTTCTCGCGCGAGTGCGTATCTCGATAATTTATTCGATTCGAAACGATCGGGGCGTTTATAAGCAAGCATCGTATCGTTTAACAGCTCGCTAACGACATCCGACACCGCGCGCGATTGTTGTTTTTTCTTTTGTCGCGTTCCGCTTCTCAATATAAATTTTATTATTTACGACGCCAAGTCATTGTACTCTTGAAATGCATCGTGAGCGATTGATGACCGAGGCAGATTTCGTTTCCCGTTTGCCCCATCAAGCAGACGTGACGATGTGCTCTCCTTCGCTCAGCGAAATTCAATACACAATTTCTACTTCTCTCCGTCACAATGGCGCTTGTTGAAAGGGAAAAAAAATGTGTGACAAGGTTCTCGAATTATTAAAACGCGAGACTCGACAATGAAAGTCATTACCAGAGGGCTTTTGCTTCGCGCGCGCAGAATAAAGACATGTAATTTGCAAAACCTCGTTAACGACGAGTTTCGAATTACGGCGTTGTTAATAATAATCCAAACACAGATGACCAATCACCGTCTAATCGCGCGTCGCGAAAATTTCAATTTCGTAATGAGAGGATTTTATGTCACTAAATCTATTTGCTATATATCTATTTATAGTTTTTAACCTTCCTTACGTCAAACGTGCGTGTCATTCTTAGTTTCGCTGATAGACGTCCTTTGTAATTTTGTTTTTTTTTTTTTTTTGTACATAGGACGTGTACATAGACTGTCGTGTACCGACACATTGTTCGAGCGCTGACTCAGTTACAATTTTATCTAATCTTGGATTTTTTTTTCCTCGAGAACGGAAAAATTACGTACACGAATATGTTTCTTCGCGCCACGTGAACGGCCGATAAAACGCTGAAAACGGTTTATTTTCGCACTATTTTCGCGCGGTATACAAGTTAAACGTCGTCGGGGGTAGTAAAAGTGTTATAATCTATTTTTGTAGACGCCTCAATTATAAGCAACGTACAGCGAGCGCTGCGGGAGGTATACACGATCTTACCCATCTTACGACGTTTCGAATTTCCCGGAGCGATTAAACCCAAATTGCAATTTTAGCATGCTTAGGAAATCTGTGTTCGAAAATGTGTTACGAATCTGGGTTAAGCGCCTTGGGTTATAATGCAGAAATTCAAGATTTTTATTACTGTTGCTTGGTTTTTTTTCACCGTGCGCGACAAGGATTTGCTCGACAAGTACAGGTCAAACGCGGGTTTTGATCGTTCTCCTAGCGAGAACTCACGGCGTGTCTTTGACAACCGTATGTTCTTTTAGAGATAAATAAACAATATGTATTTTAGCTCTTCGCGAACCTCAAAATAAACCTACGAGTCAAACAGACTGGGTCTGTAAGACCCACGCGACTTCAAAATGGAATATCTTCGCGAAAAATCATTGTGTTTCAATTTTGTTTGAATCAAAAGTTTGAACGATTCTGCGTCAATAAAAAAAAAAAAAAAAAAAAAAAAAAAAAAAAAAAAAAAAAAAAAAATTTGAAAACAATTTTAGTAGTTTCGAAGATACAATACGGTTAAAAAAAAAAACTAATTTTTACTAGAAACACCGATGCGCAATTTTTGAGCGGGTTTGGGAAACCCATGTCTGTCCTTGCGAATAGTTAAATAGAAGATTATTATATTATTGTAAAAACGTTTCTCTATCGTTTGATTGACAAAATAAAAATAGTTAACTATTGGATCGGAAGATCATTTGTTTTTGTCGTGATCGCGCAGTACACAGAGCACGTACATACGTTCGCGCTCGAAGTTCGCGAAGAAGCTGCAAAAAGCTTGAGGTAGATCAGAAACAGAAAGAGAAGAAGAAGAAAAGGAAAAAAAAACCAGAAGAAGTGTTCACGAGAGAGAAGTGGCGCGCGTCGTCTCTCGTCGCCGGTCTCGTGCACGGCAAATAGTGCGCAGCTAAAATTAAGGGCCATTTAATTTAACGTAATATCCCGAGAGACTTGATCGAACACACATCGAACACACTCTGTGCCGATGTATGTATGTACGTGCGCGTCGATTGGGACGCGCGTCATCGTGAGATTATTATTAGCGATCGATCGAGAGGACGGATCGAGATGAGGATTTATTATCGTCGTCTCGAAACCACGTCCTTTAATCGCGAACCACTTCCCCAGTCTTTGCTCGAGTTGTTTATTTTCCGAGAAACAGTGAAAAAGAAAGAGACAGAAAGAGAGAGAGAGAGAGAGAGAGAGCTTGCTGTTACACACGAGGAAAGGGTGCGAACGGAAAATAATTTAATTGACTGCAATCAGCGATAGTTGCGGACCGCTCACGAATTTCAAGCCTCTCGTTATTCTGTTTCCCACAAAGTTTCTCGCCCTTCCATCCCTCCTTACACCTCCTCTCCTTAATTGAAGCATTACGCCGCGAGATTAATTTGAAGCTGCGAAACTTTCTACTTCGCGGGAGAGCAAAGTCCCCGTCGAAATCGTTTGTTCGCGACTGTGCCAGTAGGAGGACATTTAAATCGATCTGTAAAGAAAAAAGCTTCACTCGTGCGTATAAAGTCACGATCGACGTCCACGTCAGCGGCGTACTGATTTCATAATCCTCTCTCTCTCTCTCTCTCGAGGAAACTCTCTTGAAGAAAAACGTCACATTCGACTTCCATCCGCGAAAAAATTGAATAGAAACTTTCGAACGGCTCTCTTCGTGTTTTTGTGAAATTCTTTCTTAGTTGAATCCGACGCAAACTTTGCTCTCTCTCTCATACACGCACACACACAGAAGACTTAACGCCCACGGAGGAGGAGAACGCTCCTCTCTCCGGCAAGCTTGGAAATGGCGCGACAAAAAAAGAAAATCGATACGTCTATTAGAAGGAAAGAGCGTGCGTTTTCGATGTTGCGGGGCGTGCCCCTTTACGGCGCAACGATTGAAAAAAAAAAAGATAATCCAAGAACCCGATTTCATGATCTGTTAAGTGTCAAGTGTCTCTCGTAACCGCCATGTGGGTTTTAAAATAAAGATCGATACGTAACGGCCGGTTTCCACGGGAAGCCGCGCATGTTGTTGCGAGCTGGGGCTTGATCGCAAAATCGTTCTCGGATCTACACGGAGATGATTTATAATCTCATTTGAACCAACAACTTCGTCCATTATCGTCCTGTTTCAGCAAACTGGATTTTCTCCATATATGATTTTTCTTCTTCTCGCTCTTTCTTTCTTTCTTTTTCTCTCTCTCTCTCTCTCCCTCTCTCTCTTTCTCTCTCTTTCTCTCTTTGAAACGTAATATTTTTAAGGAAAGCACAGAGTTCCACTTCAGCGATTTTTCTTATTGTCGGAGCGACTCCGATTTTTCCGTGTGCGAATTGACCATCGATCGCAATCAATGACAATAAAAAAAAAAAAAAAAAAAACGAACAGTTCACAAACGATGATTTCGAGAAATCATCTTCAACGACAACGACGTTTGTTTTGTTGTTAATTTTCAATTTTCTTAAAATCCTTATTCTAAAAAATGAAACGTCAGAGATTACAACACACATCAAACTTACGAGTCACTGCGAGGAGCAGAATTGTCGTCGCGATTACGGTAACCGCCATGGTCCTGGGACTGTGCCGGGTGTGCGCCGAACTCTCGCAATGGGGCGGCTGACAAAAGAAGAAGGGAACGGTTAAGTGCGTGCGCGCGAGAGAAATAGAATTGGCGGAAGGGAGACAGAAGACACACGGGCACACGGAACTTTCGACGCGAACGGCGGTTCTCTTCGAGACCAAAGACCCGGTCAACTCGGCAGTCTCGAAACGACTGAGTGTGTCTCTCCGTGCGAGAGGAGCGGCCCGGCCGATCGTCGAAATCCAACCCGTACATAATGGCACGGCAGAGGCCGTCGGTCATATTTCGCGGCGCCGCAACGCCGCGCCGGCACACACGTGCTCTCTCGCGCCACCCCAACTCTCCTCTCTCGGAGAGGGGGTTGCAACTCGCGTAACGTCGCACGACGGGGAGTAGGACGACGGATGGGGGTTAGAGATAGATCGAAAGTACGAGAAGCGCGCGAGAGAGGATCAAATCGGAAGCCGCGTCTGAAGTTAAGGAGGATTTGTCGTCGTCGTCGTCGTCGTCGTCGTCGTTACGGCGACGCTTATCAGTCGATGACGCTTCCGCGCGAAATTTTCGCGTGGAACGTTCACGACGCTCTCGCGTTGGTGTAACACACTTGCGCAATCGGAAGAAGGGCGGCGAAACGAGCGCGGAAACATCTCAGCCCGTTACCTTTGGACAGGTAGATCTCATGTCTCTCTCTCTCTCTCTCTCTCTTAGAGGGTTTATAAATAGAACAACTACGTTTTCGGGAAAGGGAGGGAGAAAGGGCGGGAGGGATGCAAAAAAGGGATCAGGTTTTTCAAGACTCAGCCCTTTCGCTCGTTGAGAACCGTACGTTGGCGAGAATAACGGCTTTTGTTCGTACGAACGGGGACAAATCCTGCGTTGAATCATACAAACCAATGTGACGCAAATGCCGCGCACACACGTATGCTCTTGTAATATCACAGTTTTTAGAGAAGATTTATCAAAAAAACATGATTGCAATCTAAACATAATAAAGCTTTTCCTTGTCCGGAAATCGAACATCCTCGAGTGCGCGATAGTGTGTCGCAATCTGACGCAAACGTGTGGATTGTTATTCGAGCAATCGATATTTGCTGTTATAAATCACAAGACAAGAAACAGAGAACTTGGTTGGGAACGTTCAAGTTCACGGAAGGGGAGTCTTTTCTCTGGGGTCTCTTCGAAAACCAAGAGATTGATCAAACAACGAGTCTTTCAAACGAGTCTCTCGAATCTCAAATATGTTTTATCGATACCGTCGTCTGATTAAATATTCAAGGGAAGGCGAGACCTCGGGAAAGACGACACCGAGTTTACGCGAGTTGATCGACTGGAACGTCGATTTTGAACGAGAGTTTCTGAGAGGGACTTGACACGCTGTGAACGCGACGAAATTATCGCGTTATATTATCGCGTTGTTGTTTTCACGCGAAATTTGTGTCGTTACTGTGTCGAACATGTGTTCGACGTGGACTCCCCCGTGAACGAACAAACGAACGAGCCATAAATGCGGACAATGGGGGTCGTTTTCGTGACTCTCTTCGTGCGTCATGGCGGAATAAAACATCTGCCGCGAGGGGCTCGCACGACCCGTAGGGCAGGCACTTGGACCCCAATTCCGCAAAACCTTCTGAATTGATAAACACTATTTTTTTTTTTTTTTTTTTTTTTATTTATTATTTTATCATTTAATTTTGTAAATTACGCGAGATAAGTAATTAAGGAGAGAGAGAGAGAGAGAGAGAGAAAGAGAGAGAGAGGAAAAATTGTCGAACGAAATTAAGTATCTTTACTCTCGAATGATCGCATGACGCAAACAATAAACGTTCCCATTAAATCGTTATGTGTATTTATCACGGCAAGATAAGAAAAGCAAGTGCCTTAAAAGGTGGAGATAAAATTTTTATGTTTATTAACAGTGACATACTAAGAAAGGAGGACGATCTTATCTCACTCTCGTTTTATTTGTTCTGTTCATCACCGTTGTTCTTAATTAATTAACTGTTTGAATCGCGTAAATTTCAGTAAACTTCACGGCTACTTGTTCGTAGAAGTTATTTACATTTTGTAATTCCTGTCATATAACTCGAGAAAACTCGAGGTATAAATACTATAGAAGAGCCGAATGAATTCCAACGAAATTAATTTAAAATTGTGCATTGTTTCAATATCGCGTTTCTAAATATCTGTGCGTCAAACAAAGCGTCTCACTCTTGATCTTGAGTCATCCAGCTGTCGTATCGTGTGGCAGAATTATTTGACGTGTCACACCTATGTGACAGTTTAACGCAAAAGAGAGAGCGACGCTCCAATTCACGGAATTTAGAAAATTGCTGTTCGCAAAGAATGTGTAACACTTGTTAAAAGTAGGTAATTATAAATTGTTAATTAAAATTAAACAATGAATTACCCTATATTTACGATCAATACGGAACCTACATGCTGGATGTATGTACGTGCAAATGTATTTTTGAAATGTATTGAAACGTGTGAATTAACACATGGAAATTCTAATTAAAAATTCATCTAAGATGTTTGATTTATATTCATATGAAATTCCAAATTTACTCTCTGTAAAATTCAAAAAATCCATTGCAAAAAAGACACTTCCTTGGTCAGAAATCGAATTTCCAATCTCCCGCGCGAGAGTTTAGATAATTGTAAATTGATTTTATATTGAATAATCCGATAAAAACCGCGCGCATACGTCCAGAAAAATAAGAGGAACAGCAAATAATAGTAATAATTGGTAATAAAATTAATTAGTGTCGTAGCGATTGCGGCAACGAGAGAATGAATCCGCGACAAAGTAAGATATCTATTCTTGAACGCAAAAGTGATTATAATTTACATGCAATTAAGTAATTCAAATGCCATTATTTAAATAGTCGGCAATTAAATATTCAATAATTGCATATTCCACGCGCTCATAAGTTCACTTTGGATTCCCAAGTTTAAATCTGTGTACGTGCAATCATTTATTTGTAAAATATTCGAGAGTTAACTAAAAATTCACACAGAGCGCTAAATACATATCGCGCTCTCGATGTACGTTCCGCGAGATATATCAACACGATTATCGTCTACGTTTATGACGAGACGTCACGACGACGGGTCAGCGGTGTTAACGAGTTAATTTCAAGAATGCACGTTACGCCGTTTTATTTTTTTTTTCTTCCGCGAAAGGGCAGATTATTTACTTAGCGCTGAAATTACTGGCCTTTTCCTTTTCCCCGTCGTGGGGACGACGTTTCGTGCTCGGTCGAAGAAAAACTCCGCCCCGTCTTTTTCCGTCAATTTCGTCGATCACGTACGCGAATGCTTTGCTCGAAATTCGCGCGAGCGAGCCGTAACGAGCTCATTATGTGTTCATTGATCACATCACTCGTTTTATATCTGCAATAGACTCGCTCGCGCGGTCGGTTAAATATCGCACGAAACACAAATTGAAGATGCGCGATGATACCACGTCGTTTATACGAAGGCTCCACCTTTGTTCTCCATCTTCTCGCGATAGTTAAAGCTATTGAAAGATTTTAATACGCGCAATGGCCGGTTTTAATCAGTCAATGGACGTTTTCAATTAGGAGAAAACGCTCGACGCTTTTACTTAGAAAGCACCTCGGCCGGACGATTGCTTCTCTCTTTTCAGTTTTCTCACTGTCAAATCAATAATCATGACTTTTATTTTTTGTTTTTCATAAACACATTTTTCTAATTCGTTATCTGCCACGGTTTTCCGCATTTGCGATCCTTTTAATCCGCCACGCTTTTATCGATTTCTCGATTGGTTTTTATTGCCCATTATCTTCGTGAATAATAATTGACCTAAAAATAAAACGTCGATCTAATGCAAATCAAAGCGGGTAAAATTGATTGAAAATACGGTCTCTTCAGTTTCTAAACAGATTCAGCTTCGTACACGCGCGCTCGCTGATTATTCCCAATTGCGAAGGATTGTCCACAATTTCTGGTTCTCTCGCTAACGATCGATAATCTTGCATTCCGCGTGGCATTCCGCAAATTTTTTTCAAACCGCGTCTCGGCTGCATCTCCGCCATCCGGAACTCCTCCATGATAGAATTTGACTCGGAGAACAACCGAGTGATTTGTGTTTTCACAAAATAACGGCGAGCATATGTTGTAACTTTTTGTTGAAAAAATAAACATACATTAGGTCTACCGGAAAGTTCTGTCCGTTTTTGGAATAAAACAAAATACAAATTTTTCTTAATTTTTCAAAAGTGGAATATAAAAATTGCCTTCACGCTGGCAAGAAATCATTAATATAATAATGGCAATTATATTATTTAATAAAGTTTATTGACGGTAAGAAAAATTTGTATTTTGTTTTATTCCAAAAACGGACAGAACTTTCCGTTAGACCTAATAAAAAAAACTCGCGGAGAAGCGCTCGATACATCCGCTTCAAAATACAACGCTTCGTGTTCGCTATGTCAGACGTGACAATTAGACTATTAGACGTTCTAATTTTCGTTCGTGTGCTAATGCAGTCACGGATTTCACTCGCCGTCGGAGTGGAAAAGCGAAGAGCGCGGCTAAACGTTCGATCAGGTGTTTTCTCGACAGTAAATATCTCTTCGTTCTTCGATAATTTCTTCTTTTTTTTTGCAGAGCTTTTCTCCAACGCGAGAGATTGTATCTGTGAAATTTCACGGATACACACGCATACACGTTTGGAGAACGATTAAATCTTTCTTGCGATTCTAATTGTTGCAACAGTTTTTTCGGAATTCTTTGAAGCTTTAATAAAAAAAAAAAAAAAACACATGTGTTGTTTTAATTTAAACACGTTGTGTCATCTTCAATGATTGCGCGGTGAATACTTCGTTATCGCGTCGCTGATAAAGCAAATGGCGTTAATCATCAGCGAGTATTTTTTTTTGCATCCGCCGTCGTAAAGTTTATTTTCATTGCTTAGATCACACGCCGAGTGAAGATTGAGTGGGAAGATCCATTGTTAACAAATTTAACTGCGCAAAACAGAAATTCATTTCATTAACAACGGGGGTGTTTCCCACTGACGCAGTCGCCACGTTATACGCGAGAGAACTTGATCTTATATTTATCTCGTGAAATTATCTTCTTTACTCCCGCGCTGTTATTTCGCTCTCGTGCTTGCTTAGCGCGCCTAGTTTGCGTATTCAACATTTTAAGTCAACAATTGCGTCGTCGTTCTCTCTCTTTCTCTCTCTCTCTGTCTCTCTCTCTTTGTACACGTGATTCCAGTTCGCTCGAGTTATGTCCGAGTGTACGCCCTTTTAAATGCGGCTTGTCGCAAAAAGAAGGAAAAACTAAAGAAAAAAATAAAGAAGAGTCAACACATGCGCGAATATTATAATTTTCCGGTGCGCTGCGCTTGATTGTATACGTTCTGCCGTCCCCCGCGCCTCTCTGCTTTGTTTCACGCGCATACTCCGTCGTGCATATTGGAAATTGGAATATCGATGGGAGACGATTTTCTTGTTGCCTTTTGCAAGTGTCGCAAATAGAAAACAAACAACTTGTTTGCAAATCTAAACATTGCTCTTAGCAGTTTTTTTTTTTTTTTTTTTTTTCACGACATTGTCCGCAAGTATCGAGATGTAACTTATCAGATAGACGACGCAATGAAATAAAAAAACGTTAAAAAAAACACGTTTGCACGTGTTTAAGAAAATGAACAATAGGTGCGTTATGTTGCGGAAAAGAAAGAGAGGGGGAAAAGGACCGATAAAAGTCTCTTTTTGCCGCTCGCGTTAAACTGCTCGACCATCGAAACTGCGTTTCGTTTACGCTCTTTTCTTCTTTATTACGTAATAACGACGTTCTTTGTGCGATCTCGTTGTTGAGAGGCGAGTAAGGAATTGGAGGTTATGTCATTTGTTCTACGTACGGGGAAGAATCGTAAAAAGAGAAAAATATGCGTCGGCATTATATGTGCCATCGCGCGTGATTCCGATGCGACCACGCGTGAAAATGAATCCCGCAGAAATTTCTCTCGGATCCGACCATAAAAGACAAATGGCATATTTGCTGACGCGACGACGCTCATCGCGCTGATCGATAACAGATGTACTCTCTGCGAGCGGTTTATCAACTCGCTGTATTTCCGTCACGTTCAATGAGAGAGAGAGACGGTCTTATATTTGTGGTATAGTAATTTTTTTTATCTATACGCGAGCGAGTGAGTAATTAACACGTAATCTTACTTGCGTGTGACGTGGCGCATCCACTAATTGGGACTCTTGCAGTGCGTGTGTAAATTTAAAAATTACATTAGACACAGCGAATATTGACGAGCGAGTCTCTTGCGTGTGACGCAAACAAAGTCTTACGTATGCAAGAACGTATTTCTCTTCGATGGTTGTTAAGAAATTATTCTTATTATATTTAAATCAGATATATGTTTTTTTTCTCTTTTTGTGTACGAACAGCGTCAACAAACTTACGTGTTTACATTATCGTATGTATCTTGAAATTTTTAATAAATATGCTTTTTGACAATACCAGGCAAGAATACAACGTTTCACATTATCAGCTGATGGTAGAGAGTGATAACGGTAATAGATAAGACACAGTAATAGATAAAAGAGCTCTTGTATTTACTTACCAATGATACAATAGTTATAGTATAGTAAGTTTAAAACAATTAAGACTTAAGGCTCGTTGAAATTGTCAACAAGAAATATATAAAGAAATATATATAGAAATATATAATAAAAATATATATAGTAAGTTTACTTGTCAATAATAAGAGATCAGGATTGTCATAGACTGCAGTACAATAGAAATATAGTTCCACGTGATTATTATTTCAGATTTCCATTACAGTGTGGAATCTCTGTAAGGAAGAATCTTTACAAACGGCTAAAATCGAATCTTTATATGTATTATTCTTTTATATTTTCTATATGTATTATTCTCTTATGTTTTCGAATTTAACGACTGATAATCTCACGATAAACTTGTATACCTGCGCGATTGTCAAGGTGACAAACATATACGATTCTCACCTTTGCGATGCTTGTTGTTTGCCGGTTGACGACTCAACCGACAATTTTGAAGAGAGGAAAATATGATAACATCGCCGAAGACCGAGGTGACGAGAAAAAGGGCCTGCGGAGCCAGAGGAGAGAGAGAGTCCGTAGCCGTCGATAAGAACGGATCAATAATAAAGTTAATCAATACACATTTTTATATAAAATAAAGTGCTTAATTAAATCATAATATCCTACACCTCGTTTATCCGAACCGATCGGGAGACAAGATAGTTCGGATACTACCAAGGCCCAACCTATCGCATAATAGAGATTGGGATCTCAAGTCGTTCGGATAAACGACATTCCATTGTGAATATCGGAACGCCGTCATAAACAGTGATCGTGAAGATTATGCTAGGTCTGTGATTTGTAGAGCAGAAAGAACGTTAATAAATTTTTAACTTCGACAAGTTTCAAAAGCGCTAATTTTAAAATACCATCTTATCTCGGAATCGTTTTGTAACACAAAATGAAAAATTGTATATAATGTAAAAACTATATATAGACCCTTTATTTTATTTTATTTTTTTTTTTTTTTTAAATAAAATACAAAATTACCCGTCGATCCACGGGCAACATAACAGATGTGGTTGGGCATAAAAAGCACAATACGTGTGTCTATATATTTTGATTGCACTTTATGCAAAGTCACGCTAAACTTAATAACAACTGGAGTATCACGGATACATTGTTCTTTGTTTGGACATGGCTTAGCCTATATAACGCGTTATTGGCACTGAAATGGCTTTTGGTTTTGTACCAAATACAAGTGTACAAAATAACTTCATTCTCCCTTTATCTCTTTCTTCAAATATATCACAAATTTCAAAGAGCCTTAAGTCATTATTAAATGATCACAAATTTTATCATATATATGACTTTAATGTCTTGTTGTAACAAAACAAATTGGCACGATTGTTCGACTCTGCGCAGCGCGTTTGTGCTGCACAATAAGAAAAAAAAAACAAACAAAATACGGTAACATATCAGAGTAATCGCTGAGAAACGTGCGATAGAGTTTTTCCATAGATGCGCGAGAAGATGGTTTTACACACACATTTGCTGCACAATTGTCGCGTTCGTCAAGATTCCCATAACATTTATATCCCGAATGCGCCGCTATCTAACCTAAATCTAAACACCAGAGAACACTGAGAAACTTACGTAACAATTATTTTATATTAAAAAAAGGCACGTCGCAGATACTCTGTTATACAAGAATAGCAGCACTTATATTACGTTCTTTGTGTGTATGTGTGTGTTTGTGTATTATACATTGTTTTATCATTTGTTTTCATACATAATTAATTTTTTATTATTAATCACCTCTCATATATGATTTATTTCTTATTAATTAGCGTTATATCCGAATATTGACTGAATTCGTTGAGTGTGTGTGTGTGTGTAGAACTCATGCGCCTCAATAGTATCTAATCGACTCGGTAACATTTGACAGAGGTAACATTTGTATTGTATTTAGTTATTATGTGTTTTACGAACAACAAATAAATTCGGTTTTATTATTGATGTTTTTCGTACAAGTTCTCTTGTGTGCTTCCCGTCGTCTGCGTAAAGCTTTGATTGTGGGCGTTGAATATAAAGTTGGGCATAAATTTAGTTTTTTTTTTCTCAAATAATGTCGCGACAACGTTGGCGACTGAGCGCCACGTGAAATTAGTTCAACGGCCGAACACAGTCTCCGATTTGACGCGTCAAATTTAATTCTCTCGATTACGTAATCGTGTGCATCGAGCTTTTACGAGTAATCGATTAAGTCAAATCAAAAGATTAAAAAAAAAAATAAATAAAAAAGAATTAAAGCTTTTTTATAACAATAATTGATTTCGTCAGTCTTAACACACCAAGTTGTCATGTTTCAAAACCCGATCTCTCAACGTAATATTTGTGTATTGTACGTCACGCTGGAATGTAACAATGACTCCGTCAGAGCGAATAAACTCTCGAGATAAAACAAGTTGAATAACAAAAAAAAGGAAAAAAAAGAAATTTATCAGCACATTTCTGCTTGCGAGAATTATTCTGTACATTCATCCATTTATTTACATGTTTTTTTTTTAACACTGTTTTTGTTATTGAATACAAGAAATTACATTCCCGGTAAAAAGCGTTAGTTCGCGATAAGAAAAAGTCGCTTTCACACGTTTGCATATTCGAAGAATTTGTTATATCATCGGGCCAATGCCGCAAATACGTGAAATTCAAAGTGTAATATCGTTTGCAATTTAAATCGATCCTGAACACACAATTTCCATTTCATTTTGCATATGTACATAATATCAAACTCGTAATCGTAACTAACTCGTAATTGTAATTATATCTTTTTACACTTATTTGCAATTCTTATTTCTTTTGCTATTTTGTAACTTTCGATGACTTGTTTTGTATGTCGATAATTCGAAGCAGATCCGCTTCAATTGATGTCGCACGACGTTAAACGCCAGACATGTTAGTAAAATTTATTTGTTACTAACATGTCCGTCTTTATCAAAAAACAATAACTATAATTATTTTAAGACAGTGCCTTTAAATTGTTACAAATTAATGGCTTAGGCACATAAAAATTTACAATTAAAATTCGGAAACGCTCGTTTCCCGTAACACTTTGCAAATATTATCCCAAAACTAAATTTACCAAAAAAAATAAAGTCTAATAAAGTTTCGCGTACAAACAACGATCACTTCTAACGTTAGCGTCCTCAGTGCCGCTCACTTTGTCCATGTACACCATTTCCGTTTTCTTGTCGGACGGATCGTCAACTGTCTTCTCCGTGGCGCCATCCTGTAAAAAAAAAAAACAGTAATTTCGTTTGTTTATTGCGCGATGTACGATATTTTTTTTTTTTTTTTTTTTTTCAAATCGCAAATAGACCGAAACGGTTTTACGACTGAGACGTACTGTTGTCGGTGCGTGTTGTTTCTTCTTCAGGTACAAAAGCGCTACAAGGCCAATTAAACACAATCCGACAACCGCCAAAATCACGCCGGTACACAGCATCACGACTGGAAGCGCTAATAACGTTTTTAAATTGTACGCCATATCCTCGGTAACTTGTACTTGTAAGCTGAACCAAAACATAGGGAAGTAGGTTTTGGGCACGTCCTTGTAAAGTCTGAAAACATACGGTTTTAATTATTTTGTTTCAGTTAAAAAGAAATTTATAAGCAAAAAGAAATTATAAGCGCTCCACGCGGGAAAAAAGGTTCGCTAGAATAGTAAAGAAGATTACTGCGTGGCCAGCAAACAAGTTTGCTGACAAAAAATGTTTTGTTGACGAAACAAAAAATTCAAAAAACTCGGCAAATTTATTTTTCTTGCCGACCGTGCAATGATAAAACTTTTTTTTTCCGTGTGGCAATCAGATACTTATGACAGAAATTTACTTACTTCACCAACTTCGACGACTGTGCGAGAACATTAATCTGGAGTCTGGCTGAGACTTCCAAGGGAATTCCCGTGGTCTGAAAAATAAAACGCAAGGATTTGTTATATGTGAGGAATGTTTTTGTTTGCTCGGCAAAGTGGTTAATTAATTAATTCTCATTCTACGTGCGCGAATTTGATTCGCAAAATTGACGCGAACGCTATAGAGACCATTTGCCGTTTCAATAGCGCGCTGTTATCACGCTCAACCCGTTTCCTCCGGTCGGACGAGGCCGGATGAAAGCCTATAGTAAAATTAGTATCTTGGCGGTGGCGCCGGGTTGACTGACCCGACTGTTATTTCTATCGCGGCGAATTTATTGTTCCGTCGACGAGATACGCCCGACGAGGTCACTTACGGGTTCTAGAGTGATAGAGAAGCTGTGCTCCCGCTCGTTCGGATTCAGTCCCACGACCGTCTCGAGAACGCTGGGATCAGTCTTGTAAAAATGAGGTAAGCTGATAAACACCGGCGCGCCGAAGCGACACGCGGTAACGTTTATCAGACCCGACGGCGTGCACTCGCCGTTGCAGTAGCAGCGACCCATGTTGACGACGTCCGGATCCTCGTCGGAGTAATCGTCCGCCGTGTTCTTGGACGAGCGATTGAACAACAACGTGGGCTCGGTCGAGCCTGTGATCTCGCCCGAATGATCGGCCGAGAAGAAGTCCTCGGTGGTCGTGGTCGGCTCGAGGAACATCATCTTCTCGTGCGGATACCGTCGTCTCGTGGAGTTGCCCAGAGTCTTCTTGTCGATGGTGTAACGATAACCATCTATGCCGTAGTGCGAAATCGTTCCCTCGTATTCGTAGGTTATCGGACTAGAATATAACAAATACGTGAGATCATGAGTTTAATGCACGACACATGACCCGCTGCTCGAAACAAAGCGAAGTATAGATACAAAAGTAATCTCGGCGATGTTTTGTCATTCTCGATTAGTTTGATTTATGCGGTGTTAAACCAAGATAATGTCTGACAATGTGTCTGACAAAATTGTTCGAAAAACACACAAGAAAAAGAAAGGGAAACCTCAAGAAACATATGGGTCAACTGTCGTATTGTATAACGAGGCGGGAGATAGCTCGATGAATCGGCGTTGACATAGCAACCGTTGACAGCTTCGCCGATCGCGCGTTCGAATCTCTTTCGGAGTGGTTCGGAGTCTACATTTTTTATTAAAAACCGTAGGTTCGCTAGAAAATGAATTACGAATTCGACGAAGATAATGTTACAAAATATTGAAATCTTAAAGAGCAAACTCGACGACACAACATGTTTATCTGAGAAGTTAAGAGTTACGAAAGCGATATATCAGTATCGATCTTTCGTTTGTGTAAGCATGACTTGTACAAGATACTCCAACAGCAAATGTAAATTATTAGTGACTGGCGTTTGAATTTAATTTCACCGTATTGTAACTTTATCATGATTCAATTGATAAGGACTTAATAATAAAGTCGATCGAAACGTTTTGAAACAAAACTGATCATATAAAAATAATTTTTTATTGCACAACATTCTGCACTGGCTCTATATAGTCGTTGATTTAGAATATTACTTGCATATATATTTTGTAAGCTTGATAACTCTCGATAATAACACTAACCGGCATAATTCCACGCTGAACAAAGTGATGTCGTCCTTCGTTCTGCCTGGCGGCCAGAACTCGCCGGCACTGCCCTCGATGATGTTGCAAGGACTTTTGTAAAACTTCATTGTGTCCTTGTAATTCCATTTCCTTAGGATCCCCAATTGACTAATGTCATCTTCGCCTGTTTCCATGTTGAAATGCCCGTCCAAGTCAGATGTACCATTTCTCTATATTTGAGAAATTATTACATGCTTCTCTAATGATCAGAATATTTATTTCGAAAATTTTTTTACTACATAATGTCTTTGTGAATAATTGGCATTTATTGTTGTAGATAATAGAAATTGTTTGTATGTAACCCTTTGTAGACAGACTCCAAAAACATTGGACAGACTAGGTCTCTGTGAGACTCACGCGACTTTAAAATCAAATATTTCCGCGAAAAATGAACATTTTTCAATTTTTTTTTTTTTTTTTGAATAGAAAGTTTAAACAATTCTGCGTTGATAAAAAAATTGAAAAAATTTAGTATTTTTATAAAGATATAATAAGCGTTTAAAAGAAAACCAAGTTTTTGAGGTTTGAAATTTTTGGGTGAATCTGGGAGACTGTCTGACAAAGAGTTAATAATAGAGAAGTTGAAAATACTGGAAGATGTGAATAATGAATGACAAAGTGATGAATGAGAGGTTTGCTGTGATTTTGAGAGAATCAAAAAAGTGACTGATAATTTACCCGAAATGTAATTCTTAATCCAGATAAAATCACAGTAACAAAATGATGTGAAAAATGTGAATCAGCAATCGTAAAACAGATTCTCGAGAATCTTTCGCACGTGGTTAATTATGTTTCATTGATGCGGCGCAAGTTATTTGTTCAAACGAGTGAAAAAAGATATTTGGCGCGAGAAGAGACTAAACAAGAATGATTGAGTATCTAGCGAACGAACGTACTAAGTAGAACCAGCCGAAGCGACTGTAAGGCGGCATATCTTCTATTAACCCTTTGCTCATGGTGAACAGAACGTCGGGGTAACCTGAGAATAGTAACTCGTCCACCGTTTTACTGATATAAATTTTCCGGGAGGTGGAAGTCAAAAGGAAAGACAGAGTTTGTTGCAGATTGACTTCCCAGTACCGAACCGCGTGCGCCGCTGACTGTAAAAAAAACAAATCGACGAAAAACTTGATTAGCACGAGACGTTTTATCGATTTTTTTTTCTCGATCGATTGTGTTGCGACTTTTACAACAGAAAGAAAATTCGCTTTGATAGAAAGTTGCAACAGAAAGAAAATTAGTGGAATAAAGTTTCTTAGAAATGTGTTCTCTCTGTAATTTATGTAAACTTATTTCCTCTTGTCGTCAATCGATCAGTCTTATCGATGTTGTTATTTTGTAAGCACGCGAAACAAAAGAGACGCAATAAGCTGGGCTCACCACAGTGACAACGTCCAAATTGGTGATAACGTCGCTGAGGCTCCCGTTGCTCAGCTCATCATCGAAGTACCAGAATCGTCGTTGCAAGTAGCTCACGGTTTTGTTCTCGTGATGAAACGTAATATTGTCTTTCTGTCTCACTTCTCTGAAATTTTTTTACAACAAATTACAATTTGTTTTTTCTTTTTCGTATTGTTGTCAATCGATCCCTAAGTTTACTGATCGTTTGGTTGTTTTTTTTTTTTACATTTGTGGCTTCGATTCGATTTTATCTTTCCTTGTAATTACTTAAAAAAAAAAAAAAAACATCTCGCTTAATGTTCACAAATTAAAAAATCGCAGATATAACGCGACCTATTAGCAAGACGTTTTACACAATTGACGTCGTCTTATTTATATGACGGTACTCTTACCATCACGTGTCAGCGCTTCTGAAGTCGATTATTCGACCATGATTTAAACATCTGACCTACATATTTTGCTGATTAGCATTAAAGGGGCAATTGTACTGTACGGTCGTACGGGATGAATCGCACATACGTGCGCGACGATGATGATTGACCGTGTCTAATGCTCTCTTATTGCCAAAGGCACAATCTTTGTTGTGTAATCGGCGAGATTAGAAACGGAAACGTGTGAAAGACTTTCATGAATTTTATTTCGCGCTCGTTGACACACGTTGATGAAGAAAAAAAAAGGGTTTAATCGTTCGCGCGACTTTTTTGATTTGAGTTTTCGCGCACGAATGTAACGCGGATTTGTTTCAATGATCGGAGAAATAGAAAATTTGTGAAGAAATAAATAAAATACGTGAAGTTTTAAAAATCTCATCGAAGTCTTACGACGCTTCGCGAAAAGTGAATCTTTTTGCAAACATTTTTACAAATTTTAGCTTCTATAGTGTTTTCTGTCAATAAGAGCCGTGTGCTGGGATCTCACGATGGATATAAATGTACGAGATACTTTCTGGAAATTACTTTATCAAGGAGAGTCGAACTGACTAAAAGGTAAAACGAAACGTGCCAGCTGATTCTTACAACTCGAACTATTCGATAAGTTTAAAATTCAGACAAAGAGATAAGATTAGGCTTTATCGTTTGAACAAGAAAAAAAGTTGACCTCTGATCTATGTTTGTTACTACTTTGACCGATGTTTTGATAAAAGAAAGTATATCGAGGAATATAAGTGGACAAAGACACGAGATAAAATTTGAGAAAGAAAAAAAGTCGCGCGGCTCACAATAGGTCACGAAATATAATTTTTAAACGTGTTAATTATCGCGCGTAATGATTCAAAACGAATACAATTCGAAAATTCATATTTTGTGCAATAATTCGCACATTTGAAAATTATATTTCGCGCACGTATATTCACATTGATCGAAAAACTCTTTGCGCTAGTTTAAATTTTTTAATTCGACCTTTAACTATTTTATTTATTTGGACTTTTATTGAGTACTTAATTATTACACTTAAGATTTATTAAAACGATATATTAAAGTTTGTAATTAATCTTCGCGTAAACTGGGAAATATTTGAGACTTTCAGAAAACTTGACTTTTGATACTCTTATATTGTTTTACTGACTCTTTCTGAGCGTTGGCACGTGATCGCAAAAAGCCTCTTATCGATATGTTTACTTAGATGTGTATAAAGTTCGATTTCAAAATCAATCTTGCTTCTTTCTTGCAGAATATTTTTTGTGTAAAATATGAATAAATTGTATTTAATTATTGTTGTTTAGATTGGCTGGAAGTTGATCAAAATAAAAAAACATCGAAAAACATCCTTAGCATCAGAGAAGAGTTATTTTTTTTTTTTTCCAACTCCGAGGTTGATTTATGACAAAACAGTGGATTATGGCGTTAAAATCGATTTCGATTTACGATATCCATTTATAATTGAATGATTACATTTTTATTTGCATTAATTTTCGAACAAACATCCGTTGTGCAATCGGACGATGACAATTGAAAAAGCGAAACATTATTTATCTCTCTGTAGATTGTTACTTTTATTAGACGAAATTATAAAAATTTATCAGACAAATTTAAAATTGATAGTGTAAGATTAAACCGAAGAACGAAAGACGATGTAGAAACCAAACCGCAACCACGAGAAGACTCGCTTATTTATTCTCGTCTCTTTACGCGGGTCTACGTCCGAGAGAAGAAAGTAATTAATCAATTATTTCATCTAGTCTCTCGCCTACGCCGTCGCGAATTAACTACATCGGAATGTTTTATTGTCCAATGCAGATGTCAATATAGCGGGGTTAACTATTCTTCTTTACTGTCATTATTAAGTTTGTTGTTCGCGTTGTATTCCTTCGTGCAGTGCCGGTTATTCCGATTGGAATAACCTTGGAATTTTATCTCCCTTTATATCTGACACATGTAATGTCGCGGTTTCCTTTCTTTTCTTTTCACGTTTGCGCACTTATTAATTGGAATTAAAATACATCAAGGGATTAAAATATGTTTGTCAACAAGTCCGATATATATATATACGTATATATATTATATATTTGTCAACGCGTGCAATATGCACCATTTATATGATAAGAAAAATGCACCAATTAGTCATTAACGCTCAATTGGTTATTTTTTTGAAATCATTTAATTCGCAAAGAAACATTGTCTGTTACTTAAGCGCTCAGAGACTGTCTGACTTCGTGTCAGAAGCTCAGGAATTTCGGTTACCTGACCTAACCGACTGAATGTCGGGTGCACCGAGTTTTCCGAGCTCCAATACAGCGTGACATGTGACATCGTTTGCACGACCTCAAAATTCTATCGCGCGCGCGAGGTCATTGACTCGAATCGAAATTAAACATATCGCATATTCTTAAAACAAAAAAATAAAAAACACAAAGAGAGATGCAGAGAGAAGAAATTTATATAGAGAAGAAATTTATATTGAAAGATAAATTGATAGCAAGTGAAAGTTAATAACAGGATCGAGAAATCGATGCGCGCGCGCGTCGTTAAATAAGGAGGGAGAGAGTTTTATGTTTTTTTATTTTGTTTACGTTGCGAGATTTGTTTTATTGATCGCGGATGTAATTGAGATCGCGTATTGCGATGAAGATTGCCTACCTGAAAACGTAAGGGCCAACCTGTTTGAATACAGGCTTCTTCCCACGCTCGCGAAATTCCTCCGGATTGGTCCAATTAAACATGTATATCTTCAAAAATATCGGTGGGAAATTGCTCGTGTCCTTCCATACCTCGAAGCTCCTTGAAGTCGATGTTAAGGCCAGTCCCTAAGAACACAGCGATAAATTTTTAACGTAAGATCCCAAAAAAGAGAAATATGCTTTGCACAGAACGCCGCATGTTGTGTGATGAGGTCTTCGTTAATCATTCTCACAATCAATATAATAACGAACTAACGCAACACGTTCTCAGAAAAAAATAAATTAGATCTAACTTAAATTTAACGAGATAAAAAAAATGGAAAAATAAATTTAGTTAGATCCAAATTAAATCTAAATAAATATAAAATAGATCTAAATAAATATAAGTAAATCTATGTAAATTTATACACTTTTACGATATAAATAAAAGGGTCAGAAACGTTACGGCTTATGTAACATATGACAATTTTTTTACTAATAGAACGCACGCCTTGTGAGAGAAAAAGATAAATATATAAAAACGCACTCTATTGTTCGAAACTTTTTTATTTTTTTTTTGTTTGCGTATTTATGTGTTAATATTACTGTGTACGACACTGAAGAGATCTCAAGTTAGAGACGTTTCGTGTTACTTTTAAATGTAATCTTATTTATTTAAATATATTCACCAACCTTTATTTTTACTTCTGACCTTTTTATTTATATCGGTGTTGTTTTTGCGAGCGTCTTTCCCCTTACACTCTTATATATATATTATTAAATCTACTTTAGATTTAATCAGATCTACTATATTAAAAAACTCAGATTTTCTTAGATTTGAGCAGATCTGAGTAGATCAAATAATATGCTTTATATATCTATTTAGATTTGATTTAGATCTAATTATAGACCTAATCCATTTTTTCTCGGGTTACGTGATTTGTTGCGTGGTTTATTATTAATTGATTGTCAGTCCACGTAAGTAGTTTTTTGTTACATAGATACGTAATACATCAAACATATATAAAATCTATTGTATCTAAAAATGTGAATTATAATCTGGTTTGATTCGAGGAGACACGATAAAAAGAAACTTAACTGTTGCAAAAACGTAACTATTATTTAATATTTATATTTTTACGTGCAATTGCGAATGCTAATAAGTGTTTTATGTATTTGTTTCTATGGCATTACGTAACGTGACAAAAACTTTCACCTTCAAAGTAATTTTCTTTATGTTTAAGCTCTCATTACAATCTACTTCCATGTTTTTGTTAAAGAAACAGATACATGCGTACGTAATTATTTCTTGATTTATTGATTTTAATCATATTTAATCGTACTCTAGCGCAATCAGCGTCAATAAATTTAATATATGTATAATCATAGACAAGACATATCGAGTAGCACAGCTGTTAATAATCTTCGTGTCGATCGCGGAAACAAGTGGGCAATCAGACATCACCGTGATGTGTACGATAATAATATTCCACCATTATCAGTAGCGGGATTATTTGCCCAATGGTGTTGTCGGTGGCGTGAAACCATTCGCTGCAGATTGTGTGTGTGTGTGTGTGTGTGTGTGTTTGATACAGAGAAACATCAATTAATAGGACAATCGACCACTTTTCCAATCGGGCCGGGACTAGCGCCGAGACAAGCCTCTAAATGCATAGTACATACATATCTGGTCCAGTTCAACGAGTAATCTTACTTGTCGCGGGCGATCGCTGCTGCGTGTGAGCGCTTGGCGCGTTAACACACACACACACACACGCACGAATGTGACTTCTATTTCTCGCGATCGCGGACGATAAACTCGCCCGTTGCTCAACTTCTTGTCAGAAAAGGATTTTGATAAGACTAATTGATTGCCGGTTAAAAGTCACGAACGAAATATTATTGCCAAGCAAAACGTCGACAAGAGTGAGAAATAGAACGTCGAGAAATAGAAGCAAATATAAATTAAATATTTTTGAGCAAAAAATTGACGGAAGATAACCCAAAGACAGAGGCTATCAGGGTTTTTATATAATAATGTAAAATGTTCATTGGTTTGTGAAAGATAATCGGCTTGCAAGTCGTTAAGCGCCGAGAAATTTTTAACAGTTGTTGTTGCTCATTTATTGCGATATTTCTGCGGAATTCTTGTGGAGAAAACTGCAAAACAAGGTCTCAAGAAGTTATGAGATGATACGTTAGTTTTTTTGCAATATAATAACAATGATTTATAATACATACATATCGTTCCCTTCGATAACGAACAAAACATCTGCGAATCGGCTGATTGCATTGTAGCTACTAGTAATGAACCGTTATTACGCACAATTTACATAATTATTACTGATTGTAATCGACATTTTTTTTCCTTGATAGTTAATGCAAGTAAATATATTTTTAGATCTTGCGCTTCACATTAAATTGTACAAAATGTCTCAGTAAACACGTTTGTGTCATCAAATCATTTTGATAATCTTGATTTTTATATAAAGTCGATCTAATTACATTTCTTGCAAATTTGAGACCGCGTTACGATTCATCGAAACTAATGCGAACGAATACGAGACATCGAAATAAGTGACATTCGATACTTCGTCAATATTGCCATTATGTAATATAAATATGTATTGTATACATATCCGTTTCGCGCAGCACAACATCAAAGGAAAATCTACACGCGAGAAACATCGAAAGTGGATACGTATATATATATGTATAAGTAAACACACTGGCGCTATCTAACGAGAAAAAGAGAAAATTACAAACTCTTCGGAAACTGGTTTTTTTAGATAAGCTGCTTGCTGTTTCATGGAAAACGGAGTTTGTCAAGTTTGCAAAAAAAAAAAAAAAAAAATCTCCGCGTCGCGGCGCGTTTTGTTCGCGCTCACTCACTTTTTGAATGATGTGTTGAAAGAGCATCGGCCATATGAAGCAGAGGGACTTGCCGAGAGCCACGAGGAAGAGTCCGAGAATGCCCAGGCCGAGCGTCTTGTTCGTCCACGGTCTCATAGCGACGCGCGTATCTTCGCACACACTGGTCCTCGTCTCTTCAGCATGTGCACCCCGAACTCCAGCGACCGGTCTTGTCGATCACTTCTCTCTCACTCTCGCGCGCTTTTGCGGCCGGCAATCCGGGCGCTTCAACAACTGTAAGATAAAACGTATCTAATCTAACAGTCGACGACGAGTTTACGGCTCGCATTTTACGCGCGCGCGCGCCTGCGTGCAGTCACTCACATATACACGCGATTACGTGGAAATACGCGCGCTCGCGTGTGCGAGCGAGCGAGCGAGCAAGCGCGAGTGCGTCGCGCGCGCGTTTTCCCAAGTTTCGCGACTAGATGCTGGTAACTCCAGTCGCGATCAGGAATGCGTGGGCGTTGTCACGAATAAACACTTTGAATTTCTTTCACCGCGCCAGATTCTTCATAATCTTTCCTCGAGACAGACCGTTTTTCACGTGACGAAACGTGATAAAACACGTAAAAATTTGGCAAACACTAAAACCAAAAACAAAAACAAAAAAAAACAAAATTGCGCAACGAAAAAGTTCATTCATTGATTCACCAAAAAGTGATCTAAAATCTTTTTTTCGGTCTGGTGGAATAATAGTGATCGATCATTTATGAAGTGTTTTTCTGATTGGTTTTTGTATATTAAAATTGTGAATGTGTGTCTTGTTCGACATAAAAATAACTGCTTTCCAAAAATTTCCAAATGTTTGAATAAAACGTCTAAATTTGCGTTAAAATAATTTTGCGCAAAAACTTTCAATATTAATTATTAACAAAAAGTGATGTGGTCGCAAAACGTGGTCTGGTCAGCCTCGCAAATCACTCTTTGTTTCGTTTGTCATCAAATCATTATATCTAGTATACGTAACACGCATCTAGTTAACGAATCGATAGAATATTAAACGCGGCTTATCCTTCGTTTGTGATCCATTTATATAACCACGCCGTGTCTTTCAAACACAACACACACGTATTAATACGTATAGAACGAAATAGAAGTCGAAATTTCTCGACTGATAACAAAAAAAAAGGAATTACATATCGATAGTCACGTGTCAGATCTTAAGATTCGCGAAGCGATGAGTAATAAACATTAACACACATGACTAATGTGTTCTTGCAGAGATTAATTGTAAACAAGGAAAATTCGCTTAAAATGTTTAATTCTTGAGTGTTTTTTTGTTTTATTATTGTTTTCTCCAATTCTCAGCAACGTGTAATTTATTTTTCTTGTAATTTATTTACCTCGATTAATTTTGCTGAATGTTAAATGCAAGTAATTATTTAATTGCTTTAATTTATATGAGAGAGACGACGAGCAGCACAAAACTTTCTCTCTCTCTCTCTCTCTCTCTCTCTCTCTCTCTCTCTCTTTCTCTCGTGCAAAATGGAACAAGTAAAAATATATTGACAGCCACCAATCAGAGCCACTTGCCGCGACAAATGCGATTCACTTTATGTCAATCTAATGCTTTTACGATGACTCGTAACATTTCACCAATTTTAATATTCAAATAATCGTACGGAGTCATTCTCTTGGCTCATTTTCATACATTAATGTACATAATTGTGTTTTTTTTTGCTAGTACAATATTGTAGACGTTGCTGCAATTTTGTTAGATGTGCACGCGACGTTTTTTTTGTTTTTGTTTTTTTTCATGTTTTACTCGCGGACAATGTTACCAGCAATTATCATAGAACGAAAGATAACGCGCGATATCGACTTTACCAAATGGTCAGTCGATATATTTTGATAGTTCATATTACTCTTTGTTTCACCAACAAAGTGTGTGTACGCGTTGTTCGTGTTTATAAATAAGCGTACTTACTGTTGTATGCGAAACAATTCATAAAACAATTCTCTGATTATTTCAGACACTTTTACATTACATTGTGTGTCCATGTTGAACACAATAAAGATCTATCTGTGGACTTTGTATCATTCTTTAAACTTACCTCGTAATGACACTTGCTGGCACAAGTATCGCAACTCTTTCTCTTCGTAAAGTTGTCGAATGCACACACGCGATGAAAATCCGGACTTTTATCAGATAAGATACAACGTCCACACAGAAGAAATTTTTTGGTTTCCGTATATATATGTTCAAAGACTCTCTTTGTTATGTTAAAGCAACTACTCTATTATCGGAAACTACTAACGTATTACGCGCACGCGTCTCTCCGCGTACGCTTCCCTATACGACGCAATTGTTACTGACGAGTATACTGAATCAACAGGCAGCATCTAGCGTCTCTTATCCCCTCCACTTAGGGAGGATTTTCCTCTGTTCTCTATCCCTTCGCGCCCTCACGACCGCGCCTTGTTCCCTTTCAGACGGTCGTCCCCCTTGTGTGATTGCCAGTTCAACGAATCATCCACTCGCGCGTGGGTCCAAACGCGCAACCACGTGGGAAGACCTTTGGCCTTGTGTTGGTTCTTTTGAAATTCTACTTGCTGCTCTTGTTTCATTTT